TGGGCATGGTGGCTCACACCTGTAATCCCAGCACTTTGGGAGGCTGAGGCAGGAGGATCGCTTCATTCCAGCAGTTTGAGACCAGCCTGGGCAACACAGGGAGACCCCCATCTTTACAAAACAAAAAATAAAAATAAATGAGCCAGGTGTGGTGGCTCATGTCTGTGGTCCCATCTACTTGGGAGGCTGAAGCAGGAGGATCGCCTGAGCCTGGGAATTCAAGGCTATGGCAGCTATGATTGTGCCACTGCACTTCATGTATAAATATGAATTATTTTAGGAATAAGAGAACAGGAAGGTATGACAGTTGCAGATGTTGAGACAGAGAAAAACATATTTGGAGACACACCAAGATAGCCATAGACATATACAGAGGTATACAGAGAGAGACCTTAACAGAAACAAACCTTACCCATGCTCTTAAATCAGCCTTAATCCAAATCCGTTGATGTGGATACTTTGAGTAATATAGGTGCATGGAGCACATTTGAGGAAAACATAAATGAGAAACTGCTTTCCTTGTGACACCTTCTCCTTCAGGAGATACGCTGTTCATTTTATAGGCACTATTTTTTTTTTTTTTTTTTTTTATCTGAGAAATGGTTCTTACAGAATCAGCAACTATAAAATTATATATGATATCCGAAGATAATGCCAGGGTATATATGTAGAACAATGTATCTGTGACAGCTATCAACTCATTGCCTCTCAGCTCCAGATTAACCCCTCAATCAAGTGTCTGTGGTCATGGGCAGGGTCCCTTTAAGCATCTCTCCTTTGCAGTCAGCACGATGTTAAGCTGTCTCCATAGGGGGCGCTGTTGGGGCCATTTGTGGCTGCTGCCTCGTGGGTCAGTGGTATGGGTGTCAGGACATCTGATGAGAGTTCTGCTCTAACCACTGCCTACAAGGTGGTGCCTTGGGACCCTGCAGCCTTATTCTGGCCATAACCACCTTCTGGGCCTGTGGATGACAAACTTGAGCCCTGAAAGATTCTTGCTGTATCAGTGCCGGGAAGGCCTACGGCCAACACCGGCGCCTCACTCTCCACAGATCCTGTGTGGATGACCTGCGACCTGGAGGGTTCCCACTGAGCAGCCATGCCTGCTGCAGGCCCCCACGCTCTACACAGCCAGGCCGTTGGTTGCTGGTGGACTGCCCCTGCCTGCATTCCAGAGGTTTGCTTGCTATGTGCTCAGGGACTGCAGACCAGTTCCAGCCTGGGCAAACCAGCTAAGTTCCCTGCTATGTGGATCGAGTTCAGTTCTCCAAGGAGGTCTGAACCTCAGGCTTGGGACTCTTTCCCAGTTTGTCTTTCCTTGAGTACTCTTCCTTAGCTCTAGGGTACCATAGAGAATTTCCTCATGTCCTACAGTCACTCATTAATTAGAATTTAATAACTTTATATCTATTAAATTTCCCCTGTTCAACCCACTGTAGAGCAATAGCAATACTGATGTTTTAGCAAGAAATACAGCTGCCTTTCCACTTAGAGAAGAATTTATAGAATGAAGGAGGAATAAATGAGCCAGCCTAATTTTGATTTTAGAGTTTTGAAATTGGGTGACAGCTGCTTTCATTTCTCAAAGGAAATGAATACAGTCTTGTTTCATTAGCTAGATTGTCAAATCCATGCCACGCTAGGAGAGGTTTTAATTCATGTAGCATAACATTTGTGTTGAAGCAACAAGAATCTGATTCCCACTGAATCAGTAAAGTTCCCACTGAAAAGGCCAGTTGATTAATTTCAGTCAGGGCAGAACTTTAAATTGCTGGCAATGTGTGATGAAACTGATTCCTTTTGAGGAAAAGTAATTAGTGCAATTAAATTAGAATAAGTGCATAATTTGTTTAAAACTGATCTAAGGAAGAATGAACAGGGGAAAAAAACATCTGTATCACAACCTTGGGGATTATATGAAAGTAGACAGTATAAACATAATATTATAGCTAATAGAATAAATATGACAGGACTTTCAACTTGAGGTTATTTTTATTTTTAAATTTAACTTCAATTTCTTTTTTAAATTTTAAAAATTATTCAATTATTAAATTCATGCTAGTCTTATTGTGATCATAAGAGTAGGAACTATACAGATGATTGGCAGTGGCTCTCAAATGTTTAAATACATCAGAATAACACAGGAAACTTGCTGAAATGCAGATTCCGGCAGACTTGGTTCTCTCATAGCAAGTAGTATTTTTAACAAGCATTCCAAGGATTCTGATGCAGATTGTTATCATGACCACACTTTGAGAAATCATGATTTAGTTTCCGAGTGAGCTCCCATTAAGAAATGTGAAATTTTATTTAGAAATAAGACAACTGTTTATATGTCCGTTTCTGATATTAAAATGGTCTTTATCATTTTATCCTATGCATCCCAAAGAGTTAGGGAGCAAGAAATAGCTTGTCCCCAGTAATCTATTCCTGTGTAGAAGAGCCCCTTCACATTCACCTGACTACTTGACACCACGTAGGAAATGCAGTTATTTTTGGCTATAGTTCTTCCTTTTTCTAATAGTAAGGTGAATAAAACTCATGTTGTTCTAAAAGGAAAATAACCATCGTTAACAATGAAGCCAGCACTATCATGGACAATTAAACTGAAGAGAAGTAAATTTGGAACCATATATAAATAAAGAGTCAACATTTCCCTAGGTATCCAGAGACCCAGTATCTTAGTAAGAGATGCCTGAGTAACATACAAGTTTAAAGGCAGAGGCTAAAGCATATATTTGCCATTTAAAGTCATGATTTTAGATGAGATATCAACAGAGGAATTGGAAAACTGGGTTGTCCCAGGCTGTTTCTCCTTATAAAAGCTCCCTCAAAGGACCTCAGTTAAGCCCACACTCCTCACCTCAAAAGACAACCACTGATTCTTAGGCGTGGACCAAAACTTGCTAATCGTCTAGTCTGGAAACCAGCTGTGCAAAACAAACTTAAAATGTTCCCCTAGAGCAAAGGAAAATAGGTTTGGTTTCGACTGTGGATCCTCCCTTCATTGTTTGGGGTTAAGTGGCCACCACAAGAAACAAAACTGCATGAGAAATGGCTGAGTCAACCAACACTTAGTGACATGCCCAGGAACTTCTCAAAGGGCCCAGGAAGTGGAGGCCTCCAGATTTTTTTGCAGGATGTTGTCCTTTCCTGGAATTTTGCAGGTGGCTGGCATATCTGCATTTGGAGTATTGCAAGATTATCTCACCTGACTTCTGACTGGAAGTTTATCTCCAAAATGATCATATCCACAGAGACAATTATTAACTGTGAGCAAACATTCTCAGCGACCTCACATGTATCCCCAAATCCTGACCAACAACATGCTCCTGACTGTATTCGTGGTCTTGACAGAAGATATTGTTGGGAGAAAGGGTGGTTTCTACTGTAAATGAGTTTTTTTAAATAGAGAAGAATACAAAATGGGAAAGGGATAAATACATAGATTTCTAGCTAAAAGCATTTAAAAGGAAACTTTGCAAATTTGGTTAGTGATTTCTTTAAAACACAGAGGTCAAGTCCTATTACAATAAATATCACATCCACCTAAAAATCAGGTTTCAGAGTCTCACTTGGCACCTTAATTCATTTCACATTAACAGAACGATGTTTCCATGTAGTGAAAGAATGGATATAATCCTAGGAGTGTCTCAAGCTTTCAGATGTTTGTGGCATGCCAAGCAGCATCGCTCGTTTCTCTGCTGTGGTAGTCGCTTACTTTTACATCTTTAACTTAGAAAAGTGGCTGAGTGCAGTGGCTTATGCCTGTAATCCCAGCACTTTTGGGGCTGAAGTGGGAGGATCTCTTGAGCCCAGGAGTTTGAAAACAGCCTGGGCAATGTAGCAAGACCCCTATCTCTATAAAAAAATCAAAAAATTAGCCAGGCAGAGTGCTGCACACCTGTGGTCCCAGCCACTCAGGAGGCTGAGATGGGAGGATGGCTTGAGCCTCAGAGGTTGAGACCGCAATGAGCTGTGATCGCACCACAGCGCTCCAGCCTGGGCAACACAGTAAGACCCTTTCTTCGGAAAATAAATAAAAGTTATTGAGAAAGACTGAATATATAAAATGTTCCCAGTCAAATCCTGGAAAATGGTCACCTTAAAGTGTGTTGGGAACTGGGAGCCCCCTGGATTCCTCTGAGGTATTCCATTAAGAGCTGTAGACGTTTGCTGGCTAGCTTCCACCAGGCCTGGTTTGTGAGGGCTCATTCAGTATCAGAGAGACACACAGGTAGTTACTGACGGAGTTAATTTTGGGCTCCCATGTTGGCCTAAGTCTGATGATCATGCAGTGTGGCTAATGAATGCTGTCATCCCTGGGAGATGCGACTTCTGAATGAAAATATGGGACCCTGGAAACCAAGGTCCTGTCTTATTTGTATCAGTGGAGTCATGTAGTATATAAACTCCAAACAATAAAGCAGTAGCTTTGGTTGACTGTGTACAGGAAATTTCTGGATGGCCATTTGGCTCTAAGTTAATCAAAAGACATCTCTATTAGCAACCCAAACTACAATTTTGATATTCTTACCTAGGAGATAAAACTTCATTAAGTAATTAACATGTACTAAGGGGGAGAAGGGATATTTGGTTCTCTTTTTTTTAACTTCAAAATTTTATTCCCCCAGTATTCTATGACCGGCTGCTATGAAACTCATCAGCCAAAATCAACAAAGGCGGCCACCAGCCACAGATCAAACATGTGAAATAACAAACCTACCTGAAGCACAGCCTGGGACGTACCACTTGCTTCAAGTATTAGGCTACTGCCATCTCCAGCAGCTGTAAACGTAGCCTGGCTGCCAGCCCATAACCTCCTTCCTCATCCTTCCAGTTTGTTTTTATAGGCTTACAACTGGGATTACAAAGTAACTTCTGAGATGTTATTACTGAAACACGATAAAGCAAAATCAGTCTTCAGAGGTTAAGGAGGGAGTTTTTAATCAAAGTGTGGTCGACAGGCTTGATATTTTAGGAAGACATTTTTTTTTAAAAAAGCATCATGAAAAAGCCTCAATAAACAGGCCGTATTTAGTCCAAATTGTGTTCAGAACAGCATGGGTTCCGTTTTGAATTGGCTTGGATTCTGGACTTCCTCTTCCTATTACATAGGTCTGAGAGTTGTTGTCTTTGCTAGTAAAATTTAGCTTTGTTTCCCCACCAGTGATAATGACATGAAGCACTAGGAAACGATGCAGTAACCGCAGTGCACCAGGCCTTCCTCTGGGGAAGGTGTGACATAGGAGAAGAGCCCGGGAGGACTCCCCCATACTAAGTCCAGTGAAGTGCAGAATGCCTGCTCATGTTTGGAAAAATAAGACAAGTCAGGAATGCAAGAAAAAAAAAAGTCTTCACGCTCAATGTGACTGTCTTTGGAATTCATTTCATTAAGGTTTTCACAAAATACAAAGCTCAAACGTAATTATCTACGTCCACCACAAAACAGAATCAAATAAGTGGTTAGCACAACAATGATCGTTTCCATTTTAAAAAATATAAATAACAATGTTCAAGGTTTTACAATTTCTTCTTAGTGTGTGTCTTTTTAAGGCTTTATGTTGCAGACCCTTCATTAATGGTACTTGTACCCTGCCATCAGGATACACTGCCCACCAGCAAGGAAGGCCACTGTGGATACATTCCTGAGGGGGACACACACGGATCCATGTTGCCTCAGCCTGTTAAAAACTAAACAATCAAACACCCTCCAGTCGGTTCTGTTTCATTAACTTACTTTCTACTACAAAGTAATAATAGAAAGGGGGATGTGTCCAGCAGCTTTCGAGCTCTGAGAAGATCAATCAGGAAGGGCAAGAAGGAAAAAACAGGCTTCCTCTTGGAGAGAATTTTTTTCCTTTCGTCCAGAACAAACACCAATAACCCAGATAGTTCAAACAGTGGTTTGTACTGAAACATTTTTCAGATTAAATAGTGTTGATAGAAACAGTCATCTTTTGGTTGGGTATTTTAGAAGAGGTTAAAGTGGAGAGGTTAATGTTGGGAAAATACCACCGAAAGTACAGCCCCCGGTAGGAGTGGGCTCACTCGTGAGGTCTGGGGGCAGAGCCAGGCCCCCGGCCTTGGGAATGAAATCCGAGGGCAGGCTCTCCAGCAGACACTTGACCTGCTCCTGGCCCAGCTTGATCTTGTCGTCCAGCTTCCGCTGCTCGATAAGGAGTGTGGACTTCATTTTCACGAAGTGCTGGTAGTCCTGGAGCTGCTCCTCAGAAAGGTAACTGGCCAGGATGCCCAGCACCACCCGCTCCCTGCGATCCAGGTTCTCCTTCAGCTCCCGGGCGTCCTCGTGCTGCCCAGCCAGGATCTTCCTTTTCTCGTAGAGAGAGCTCTGCCAGGGCAAATTGGACAGGTCAGCAAAGGCCAGGGGAAAGGAGAAAAGAGCCAGACTCGCTGCAAGGATACCTCTGACAGGACTGGGAAGTATCTACGCTCTATTCCTATTGTCACTCTAAGGAGACTTTTTGAAAATCAGCTTATTATCTTTATACTGCATATTACAGCATTCTCGAATTTGTAATGTCATAGGGTAGCTGCAATTTGAGAGGTGTTACTTTAAATTGGCTAGGAATAAAATTGCTTTTGGATTCTAGACTTAAAAAACCAATCATCAGCTGAGCATGGTGACTTTGGGAGGCTAAGACGGGTGGATCACTTGAGGCCAGGAGTTCAAAGTCATCCTGACCAACATGAGGAAACCCCATCTCTACTAACAATACAAAAATTAGCTGAGTGTGGTCATGCATGCCTGTAATACCAGCTCCTCAAGAGACTGAGGCATGAAAATCACTTGAACCCGGGAGGCGGAGGTTGCAGTGAGTGGAGATTGTGCCACTGCACTCCAGCCTGGGTGACAGAGTGAGACTCTGTCTCAAAAATAATCATCAAGGTACCTTGAGTACTACACTATTACAGTGGTTCTCAAGGTGTGGTTGCTGGACCAGCAGCAGTGGCATCACCCAAAATCCAAGGGTTCGGGTCCTCTTCCACCTCCTGAATCAAAAACTCTGGAGCTGAGGCCCAGAAAGCTGTTTTAACAAGCCTTCCAGATGATTCTTTTGTGGCTAAAGTTTGAGAACGTCTCCCTAATCCACAATAACAAGGGGATCATCATATTTCCCATCTCCAGAGAAGTTAGTTTCCATTTTTTCCAGTTACCTTTTGCAAGCCTCTGAATCTAAAATGAAAGAAATTCTGTTCAACAATGATGGCAATGTTATGTTCTAAGAGTTTCTTACACTTTTCTATGATATTGTAGCATATATTTTCTTTAATGTGGTTTTCTATCCAACCTGGTAACACATATCATTTTTACATTAAAAAAAAAAGTTTATACTTAACCATTCACACTTTTTAGGCAAAGTAAATTCCCCTAAACTAGCCTGTCACATCTTAGAGAATAATGCCTAGGGGGAAAGTGAAGAGTTACAGGCTTATTGAACTTAAGTTTCCTTTCCCTATACAGAGAAACAGACCTAAAAACAAACCCCTGAGTGACTGAATTTGAAGATGCCTTTCAAAGTACCATAGAGATATTAATTTAAAAATTGAGAATTTTTTCAGCACCTACCTTAAAAAATATATAAAATATTTCAGACATCAGAAATGTATAGAGAATGCCCATCACTCTGTGTACCTATCATTAATGGTGCCAAATCTTAATATGAACACTTTTTCATATTTGCTTCAGATTAGAAATTTTTTTAGAGATTCAGTTGAAGCCTTATAGACACTCCTCCCCAATCCTGGTCTTCACTACTCCTCACCGGGTAACTATTTTTCTTCCATTTTTCATTTCTACTTACAGTTTGTTTCTTAACGAAGACCAATCAGGGTAAAAATCAATACTGCTATAGTATTTTTCAGGTGAGCAAACTTACTTGTATTTAAGAATGCAGACGTGCATTTAAGTGTGGAATTTAATTCAGTTCTAGAACAATTCATCTTGCCCTAACTAGAAATTGCGTCACTCTTTCTTAGCTATCTAGAGCATTCATCCAGGTGGCCCAACAGGAAACCTGGAATTACTGTCTGCTCTGCTCTTCCCTCATCTAACGTGCTCCTTGCTAATAATCCAAATTCATTCTCTAATTTCTTCCCTCTTCTCTATCCCCCGGACAACTGCCTCCATCAGCAGGGTAAACCCTCCTTGTCTAGAGTATTATAACGAGCCTCCCAACTGTTATTTTAACATCAATCTTGCCCTTCCCCAGGCTGAGTAAGTCATGAAGTTAGTTCATGGCCCTTCTCTACCTACAGACTGAAGTCTAAAGTCTTGAGTATGACTTTGGTAAGGTCTTTGTAATGATTTTCTGTGCTGAATATTGTGTCTGGCTCTCCAGGGCCACTCTCCTCTGCCCTGTGCTGAGCAAAGCTGAACTCTAGGGGTTGCATCCACTGGGCTTCCTTGCCGTCTGTGTTTGACCAAGGGGAGTGATGGGAAAGAGATTGGAGAGTGCGAAAAGCAGCTGTGGCAGGTATCCCTGGCTGCCTCTGTGCCAGGCTTCGGGTTGGTGGCGGCTGCATTCCTTTAACCAGGGTCTCAGTGCTTAGACGGCAGCTATAGCTTTGGTTCTGATAAGGGCTCCAATCGCCTTGGCTACTTCAGGAGGCCCATAATGGCTTTCCTGCTGATGCTAGCTCTGGGTGAGGGGTAAGGGGAGAGTCCTCATTACCCCTTCCTGGTTTCCCATACCTTCCCATACCATCTTTGAACTTACTGTCCGTTTCTTATATTCCTATAGCTATTTTTAAAAACCAACCAAGCAATCAGTGTATGGTCTAGACATACCAAACATGCAAATCGACTCGTAAACATGGCGTCTCTTTCTTGACTTTGTCCATGGTATTTCCTCTAAATGGTGAGGCCCTTCCCCTCTCAGTCCTCTTAGAAATTAAGATGTCCTTCTAAACGTCTTCATGTGCCACTGTGTGAAGTCTTTCCTGCCTTACACTCCCCCACCTGAGAAGTGTTTCATGGCTGAGTTTCTCACTATACGTAGCACCTGCACACCAATGTTCCTGCCTACTGCTTTCCTGGAGGGCGGGGCCTGTGTTTTGGTCAGCATTTTTCCCTAGCACACAGTATTTGACAGGCTACTGTTAGCTGTTTGTCAAGTAGAAGAAAGGAGGAAAGGAAACCCTTCTGAGTTAGGCCGTATTAGGTAATTTCTAGATAAGGAAGCTGGCTCAGTACACAAGGGAGATGCTGAGGGTGGCACTGTCGACTTCCTAAATGCTGAGTGACTTTCCTAAATGTTTAGCATCCAGACTTTTTCTAATCCTTCCAAAACCTATCTGAAAAAGGACATCTTTCCTTTTAATGCAATATATACAGTAGGAGAAATTACTGGAAAGTCCATGAGAGCAATGAGAAAGAAAGATGGTAGGCCGCACGTGGTGACTCATGCTTGTCATCCTAGACACTTTGTGGGGCCGAGGTAGGTGGATCACCTAAGGTCAGGAGTTCGAGACCAGCCTGGTTAACATGGCAAAACCCTGTCTCTACTAAAAATACAAAAATTAGCCGGGCATGGTGGCATGTGCCTGTAATCTCAGCTACTCAGGAGGTTGAGGCAGGAGAATCACATGCACCGTTGCACTCAAGCCTGGGTGACAAAGAGACTCCGTCTCAAAAAAAAAAAAAAAGAAAAAGAAGGATGGTAGCATAGACAAGAAAAGGAGCCCCTCTTCATGGCTGGAGTACCTTCCATCTTCTAGCATGTATACATACACAGACTGTGTGCACATACATATAAAATAATTGTGTCTACTGTTTGTTGTTCAGTATCAGAAGGGCAGGATCTGTCTGCTTTGCTCACAAATGTATCCCATGTGCCTACACCACCAAGTGACACATACTAGAACCCCAGTGACTATTTGCTGTACAGATGAGTAGATGAAGGATGCTCTGTAGCTCTGGAATTCTGTTCAATGTAGTGATACAAGTTGGGGTCTGCAGGAGGACTCCTCCTGTCCTAGCCTCCTCACTGGGCTGTTGCGAGGATTCCATGAGACGGCGCGTAAGCTCACAGTACCTGACAGGTGCAAGTTCTTGGTGAATTGTCTCCAGCGGTGTCAGCACTGTTACCTGTCCCCTCCCTTCGAGGAGGGGGTCCATCCTCACTATGTGCCTGTGGCCCCTCACGTGAGATGCCCTAGAGCCTTGAGCCTGTGCCCCTGCCCCCTCCCTGTTTTAATGTACTTATCATGCTTTTATCTTTTTGGGAAAGAAAGGAAGGAACACAGCTGGGAGGAAAGAAACTCTGGTGCTTGTGTTTTTTACTTTCCCAAGCATTCCCTGAGCCTTAAGTGTCTAATTACTTTTTTTTTTTTTTTTTTTTTTTTTTTTTTTGGAGATGGAGAGTCACTCTGTCACCCAGGCTGGAATGTAGCAGCACAGTCTCTGCTCACTGCAACCTCCACCTCCCGGGTTCAAGCGATTCTTCTGCTTCAGCCTACCGAGTAGCTGGGACTACAGTCACCTGCCACCACACCTGGCTAATTTTTCTATTTTCAGTAGAGACGGGGTTTCACCATATTGGCCAGGCTGGTCTCAAACTCCTGACCTCGTGATCTGCCCGCCTTGGCCTCCCAAAGTGCTGGGATTATAGGCGTGAGCCACTGTACCTGGCTTTTTTTTTTTTTTTTTTTTTGAGGTGGAGTCTTGCTCTGTCGCCCAGGCTGGACTGCAGTGACACAATCTTGGCTCACTGCAACCTCTTACCTCCTAGGTTCAGGTGATTCTCCTGCCTCAGCCTTCCAAGTACTTGGGATTACAAGCATGCACCATGGTGCCTGGCTAATTTTCTTATTTTTTAGTAGAGATGGGTTTCACCATGTTAGCCAGGCTGGTCTTGAACTCCTGACCTCAGGAGTTCAGGAGGCCTGCCTAAGCCTCCCAAAGTGCTGGAATTACAGGTGTGAGCCACTGCACCCAGCCAGTACTACATCTTGACACAGGAAGTGCCTTCTCTGTTTCTTGGTTATTTATACATGTATTCTCTCCCTGCTCCAAAGAGATTTGCCCCATATATTCCTAGAGAAAGGATGGCATCTAATGGCACCTCTCTGTATGTGGGCTCTAAGGGAGAACTTATTGAACTGTATTGCTAGGCCACCTACCCTTTCTTCATTACTGGCATCTTCACCAAGGCCACTAAGGACGTTCTCAACACGGGCCAGACGCCCCGAGAGGGAGAGTAGCAGGTTGACCACCTTGTCCAAGTCCCCTATGAACATCCTGTACTTGTCAAACTCATTGGGCTTGCAGAGCTCGCTGATCAGAGCCTCCACCTCTTCTCCCAGGGCATTGTTGAGCTTGATGTCCATGAGCAGGCTCCCCTTCGCCTCCTGGAGGGTCTCCAGCTTGTGGGTGAGGCTTCCAATGAGCTCAGCCTGAAATGGCAGATGAGACCGCAAAGATCAGCCAAAAGGAGCTGCCAGTGGAAGCAGGAGTCACTTTCCCCCAGCCACGTTCTGCCATCTTCAAGGCTCAGCTGAATACCCTTCCCCATCTCTAGATGGGACTATCCCTCAACATTATGCCATAATAGACTTCTTTCCCTAAGGGTTTACCATTGCCTTTCTCTGAACCTCACACACCAACACTTGATTACAAGCAGCCTTGTAATGTTTTCCATTGTGTCATGCTGTGTACAGCTTTGCCTTCCAACTGGTTTGTTAACTATTTTTTTTTTTTTTTTGAGACGGAGATTCACTCTTGTCTCCCAGGCTGGAGTGCAATGATGCCATCTTGACTCACTGCAACCTCTGCCTGCTGGGTTGAAGAGATTCTCCTGCCTCAGCCTCCCAAGTAGCTGGGGCTTACAGTCAACTGCCACCACCACACCTGGCTAATTTTATTTATTTATTTATTTTTGAGATGGAGTTTCGCTCTTGTTGTCCAGGCTAGAGTGCAGTGGCACGATCTAGGCTCACTGCAACCTCTGCCTTCTGGTTTCAAGTGCTTCTCCTGCTTTAGCCTCCCGAGTAGCTTACAGGTGCCTGCCACCATGCCTGGCTAATTTTTGTATTTTTAGTAGAGAAGGGGTTTCACCATGTTAGCCAGGCTGGTCTCGAACTCCTGACCTCAAGTGATCCACCTGCCTTGGCTTCTCAAACTGCTGGGATTACAGGCGTGAGCCACTGCGCCGGGCCAACTACTCGTTTTTAAAAGTCCTTTTAAGATATGTTCTCATGACAATACCATGGGTAAGTAGGCAAGTAAACAGTATTCTCATTTTACAGATAGAGAGGCCAAGAGTCAGAGGAATTATTGCTCAGAGCTGAGTTGAATATTAATTGTGGCTATCATTTGTAAAGCAATTGATATGTGCTGTACACTATGGAGAAAACTCTACATTGATTATGTTACTTAGTCTACCCAGCAATCTTATAGTAGATGCTGTTTTACCTACCTATAATAAGGGAGGAAATGAAGACACTGTGAGGTGTAGTGATGGCCTAGACACATGAACCGTGAACTCAAGTCGCCCTCACTTTAGGGGCTACCCTTGTACAATCAGTAGAAATAGTGACATCAAGCTGGGTGCAGTGGCTCACACCTGTAATCCCAGCACCTTGGGAGGCCGAGGCGAGAGGATCATCTGAGGTCAGGAGTTCAAGACCAGCCTGGCCAACATGGTAAAACACTGTCTCTACTAAAAATACAAAAATTAGCCAGGCGTGGTGGCAGGTGCCCGTAATCTCAGCTACTGGGGAGGTTGAAGAAGGGGAATCACTTGAACCCGGGAGGTAGAGGTTGCAGTGAGTCAAGATTGCACCATTGTACTCCAGCCTGCGTGACAAAAGCAAAACTCTGTCTCAAAAAAAAAAAAAAAAAAAGGAGTGACACCAAGGCCTTTATCAGAAAGTCAGCCCTTGTTATTCTACCTCACCTATGTCCAGATACCAGAGCTGTGCAATTTGACACCTTAATCACAAATTTCCATACTTATAGTTATGCAAATATCCAATATATTTAACTGAAGGAAGGAAGTAAATGTCTTAGTGGTCTTAGTAGCTTCTAGTTTGAATTCATTTATATTAAGTGTCTACTGCTGCTGTTGCACAACAGAAATTCAGCTCCATGGTTTTTGTAATTATTTCATTTTTCTCTTAGCCTAAAATAGCTAGATGGAAAGAAGGCAATCTTTTTTAGTTAAAACTTTTTTTTTTTTTAACCACTAAAAAGGTCCCAACTCAAAAATTCTCCATATGTACATGCACACACACACTATGTATAAATAAATATATATATATATGTATATGCGCAAACACACACATATAAAATTGGTGTGTGTGTCATGGAATTACTGTGCAGCCATCAAAAACAATGAGTTCGTGTCCTTTGTAGGGACATGGATGAACCTGGAAACCATCATTCTCAGCAAACTGACACAAGAGCAGAAAATCAAACACTGCATGTTCTCACTCATAGACGGGTGTTGAACAATGAGAACACATGGACACAGGGAGAGGGGCACTATACACTGGGGTCTGTTGGGGGGAAACGGGGAGGGACAGTGGGGGGTGGGGAGTTGGGACGAGATAGCATGGGGAGAACTGCCAGATATGGGTGATGGGGAGGAAGGCAGCAAATCACACTGCCACGTGTGTACCTATGCGACAATCTTGCATGTTCTTCACATGTACCCCCAAACCTAAAATGCAATTAAAAAAAAAAAATTGGGGTGTGTGTATATACACACACATGCAAATATGTACACATGCACACCCCAAACTGGCTTCAACTGGAAATGTGATTATTAAACATAAAGGTTACAACTTCTATGTTGGAAGTGCATGTCCATTTTAAAGGGGGAAAAAAAAAAAGGAAACATTTCTGACCAAGAGAATTGAAGGGTACTGACAACTTTTTATACTATTCCTTCAACATCAGCACTAGAGAAGGTTCATTAGGAATGTAATCACAATAGTTAGGGAAATATTTACTTCTCCACAATCTTCCCATCTTGGAGTTGGACCATCAGAGGTACTTCACAAGTGAATGAAGTTCATAATGTCCTTGAAATGTCTAGGTTCTGGCTTTAACGGTGACATCTTATTTTCTCAATCTGCCTAATCCTAGAGGTTGCAGGTGGCGAAAACATTCACATCTGCTGCACCATCTCATCAAAGGTTATAATCTTTGCTTTCACCCAAGCTGTTAAAATTGCTTAATTATTAAGTTTTCTTATCCTCTCCTGGAAAAATTCCATTTTCCAAAAAAGCAATTCTGGTTTGAAGCTATGGAATTTACCTGCAAGATAACATGTTATGTACCTTTAGCAAAATACATAACATGTCCTGTAGCTCCAGCAAAATGGCTGGCAACCGATATCACTGTGATATCGGCTTATATGGAGAAAACAGCAAGGATACTGGAATGCAAAGCAGCAGGAAAAATAAACTGCCTGCTGTTGTATCTCCTAACATTCCTGCTGGACTGGGTTAAGATAAGTCAAATGTCATCATTCCTGTTTTTCAGATAGATAATGAGAGAGAATGTCATCTATGTGAGGTCAGCCCAGGAATTCTTAACTCTTAGGGTACATTTCCTAGGCTTGTCACTCCAGATGTTACTGGAAGATACTTAAAGACAACCAGGTTATACCAAATCCAAAGAGATAGTTACCAGGGCAAAACATTCTTATCACTCCACCCTCAGGAAAAGGCCTTTTGGTTCATTCAGATTTCAGGCATCCATTTCAACCTCATGTCCCGAGAAATAAGAATTTCTAGCATGTCTAGAAAATGCTTTTTTAAAACTAAATAGTGGAAAGAAACAAGGTATTTTTTTTTCAGCCTGTTTTTCATTATTTCTATTAATGACTTTTTTTGAAACTAGTATTGTGTGTTGTCATTTCTGGAAGGAACTAAAACACTTAAACTATTAAGTATTTTATGTGGCCTCATTGTGTTTAAAAATCCTCCTATGGCTCTCAGGTGGTTTTTAAATTTTATTTTGAGATGAAGTTTCACTCTTGTTGCCCAGGCTGGAGTGCAATGGCGTGATCTCGGCTCACTGCAACCGCTGCCTCTCGGGTTCAAGTGATTCTCTTGCCTCAGCCTCCCGAGTAGCTGGGATTACAGGCACCACCACACCCAGTTAATTTTGTATTTTTAGTAGAGACAGGGTTTTACCTGTTGGTCAGGCTGGTCTCAAACTCCTGACCTCAGGTTATCTGCCTGCCTTGGCTCCCAAAGTGCTGGGATTACAGGTGTGAGCCACCATGCCTGGCCAGAGGCTGTATTTTAAAGGACATGTGTTAGGCTTATCAATTTGCAAATGAGCAGAAACCAAGGGTAAGTAGTTTGCTCTCACATGTGTGAGTGAATGATGAGAGGAGAGAACTCACCCTTTCAAATTTTCTTTCTAAACTCAGCTCAACAGCTCTTCCCAGCACCTAAGCAGATCAGCAACACTGCAGGGGTGGCCCTGAGGTGAGCAAGGTTCAGTGGGCTGGAGGGGTCAAAAGAACTTAATCCACCTGAACTGCAATCAGGGTTTAGATACAACCATCCAATCTACCCTATCTTTCCTTCCCAGACCTTGTTTTGGTTTTCAGAGACATCAGTGCTGGGCAGAACCATAAATTAGTCTGTCATAGGCAGTGTGGTGATTCCTCAAGGATCTAGAACTAGAAATACCACTTGACCCAGCAATCCCATTACTGGGTATATACCCAAAGGATTATAAACCATTCTGTTATGAAGACACATGCACATATATGTTTATTGTGGCACTGTTCACAATAGCAAAGACTTCGAACCAACACAAATGCCCATCAATGATAGACTGGATCAAGAAAATGTGGAGAATGCTATGCAGCCATATACACCATAGAATGCTATGCAGCCATAAAGAAGGATGAGTTCATTGTCCTTTGCAGGGACATGGATGAAATTGGAAACCGTCATTCTCAGCAAACTGACACAGAACAGAAAACCAAACACCACATATTCTCACTCATGAGTGGCTATTGAACAATAAGAACACACGGACACAGGGTGGGGAACATCATGCACCAGGGACTGCGGGGTTGGGGGACTGGGGAGGGATAGCATTAGGAGAAATACCTAATGTAGATGGCGGGGCAATGGATGCAGCAAACCACCACCATGGCACGTGTGTGCCTACGTAACAAACCTACACATGTACCCCAGAACTTAAAGTATAATAAATAAATGTTTAAAAAGAATCTGTCATAGGAGCATGTGTGTACCCCAGGCTTCATGGTACAAGAAAGAACAAAATGAGATGAAAATGTGTAAGAGTGATACAGGGAGGCTTTGTGAAAAGAAGCATATACATTTCATGGCATTCTGATTTCAGAAAGCTATTAATATTTGCTGGGCTTTAATGTGCTATCTTGCAGCTTGGCCATAGATGCTAAGGCCAGAATTACTGAGTGGTCACATCAGTCACTCCTGGCTGAATGTTCCTCAGTTAGGTGGCATTTGAATTTTTTGAAAACCCTACCCAAATTGAAAATTTGAATTTAAAAATGCAGTTAAGAGAAATCTGAGAAACCGACAGCAACAAGGGAAAGCTGGCTGTACTAAACAGCCATTTCTTTGCCAGGCAGATCTCTTCCAAAAAACCTACCAATTTCTACCAGAATAACTCACCGGGGGAGGGAGAAGAGGTGTATTTTGTTTTAAATCACGTTAGTCTCTCAAGAGCTACTTAATTTGTAAAATCATGTATCTACTTATCATCTGGCATAAACTGCTGGCTCACCCTGTGTGAGATGTTATTTATAAGGGTTCTTCTTCCAAACATAGCTTTGCAGACCCTCCCTCCCACCTCATCCCCTGCAGAAATGTCCTGCTGGACCCTTCCCCACTTCCTGCCTGCTGCAGGACGAACACTGGACAAGGAGGCAGGAGGTTCTGACACAAAATTCAGCATCAGGTAAGTTACTTGACTTTCTGTGTCCTCAGTTATCCACAGCGAGAAGACAATAATGCCTGCCAAAAACTAGTAATAATGTCTAATTATTCAGCTCTTTCTCTGTGCCAGACACCATTTAAGTGTTTTACAATTGAATTACTACTTGCAACAACCTGATGAAAAAGGTGGTATTATCCCCATTTACTGATGAGTAAAGTGAGGAGGATAGAGGTTACTTAACTTGCCCAAGGCCATACAGCTGAGAAGTGACAGAGCCAGGCTTAAACACAGATGGTCTAGCTTCAGACCTTCATCACTACATTAAAATAGCTCATAAGAATGCTATGAGGTTCAAACGAGGCTGGTGGAAATCACAACACACGATATTAGTTTCAAAAGAAGTCATAACAGAAATAATGAAAACCATGAGGATGAAAAGGAAAACCTTGTTTCTTTCCACTACTGAGTTTTTCAAAAGCCTTTTCTAGAATTTGATTTCTTAAGACATGAATGTTAAGATGGATGCCAGAAGTCTGAAGAGCTGAAGGCTGGTGCAAGCACTCCAGAAACTATGAAAGTATTACACATATTCTAATTATTTTCTTGTGCAGTCGTAAGATTAGACAACAATTTGAAGATGACACACCACTCATTTTAGGCAGATGCCTCCAGGAGGAATACTCAACTCCTTCCCCTGATGACAAGACCATGCTGCCAGTAACATCACTCCACACACAGTTGGCCTCTGTGTGTCTCCATCTTAAGAGTAGTTCAGGGCTACTAGCCAAGCGGCATGGTTTGGGAATAGAGCGGAATTCAGCTTAGCTTGTAAAAACAAGGACTAGATAAAGCCATTTCTACCAAATAGGCTTTCCTGGTGTCTTTCTTTGGTCTTAAAAGGGAGGATGCAGGCTGCAGCAGCTGTGTCTGCTTTCTTTAGCTGAATGTCACCCCATCAGCAAGGCAGTGGCACTTTGTGTCCTACAGACAGCAACTGGATCAAAGCTCCATTCCATGTTATGTAACCTCATTATTAAAGCAGAAGGATCATGGGGACCTGGCTGCCATTTCAGATGTTCTCCAGAACATTCTCTGTCAACGGTTCTTTACCATTTCCTCTCTGGAAGGCTTATGGCCAGAAAGCCACCCTATCTGCTTAGTATGGTCTCTCAGTTGCAGTTAGCAAGGATCTTTGGTAACCTGCTAGAAACAATATTACATCTCTTCAAATTTAACTAAAGTCATCATCTCCGCTCCCCCAAATGACCTTCCCCTTTTCCCCGTTTGAGTTCTGACAGTCATCTAGGGCCGGGGGCTTGGGAGTCATCCTTGACTCTTCTCCCTTCCATCTAGTCTAATCTGTCACTAGGCTCTGCCCATCTTACTACTACTTTTTTTAAATGGCCCTGTTTCTCACTGCTCCTACTGCACTGGCCCTGAGATCCTTATCACTGCTTTCCCAGAAGGCTCTTGAGACCCCACATCCACCCTTGTCCTGTCCTGCTCCACACTCAGCAGCCAAACCACATTGCCATGTATGTACCTATGCAACAATCCTGCATGATCTGCACATGTACTCCAGAACCTAAAGTGCAATAAAACATATATAAAAATAATAATATGTCAGGATTTAGCCAAAAAATTGACAGCTCTGATTTACACTGTCTTATGTATGTTAGAAGTTCAGACAATGAAAGTTTCATATTTTAAGTGATACTTAAACATTTACTTGGAATATTATTCATCATAATCTAGGATATGTAAACAGAAATATCAAAGTAAAACTAAAGTGTTATTCTAATTTATAATAGTTATTAGTAAGCCAAGCTTCTAGTTTCTAGCCTAGATACATATCTTAGTTTATTAGTAACTTTATTAGTAGCAAATTATTACTTTGCAAAAGTGAGTCACAGGCTACATTGTAACTCAAAAGAATACTGGAGAATGGATATTGACCAAGTATCATTTTTTTAAAACCATCACTAGAAAAGCCTGTTGTATTTCAGGAAGAAAACTATATTTTGCTGACTATATTAACAGATGCTTTCAACAATATCATTTACTTAAAACTTTGTGTTTCCAAATCAGATATGTAAATGTGATAGTAATGAAAATTCTATTATACATTTATAAACTTGTAGTTCATTAAAACAAACTAAAATCTCAAAGAGTTCTCTCCACTGTCATATGACAAAATCCCAACTTCAGCATTAGAAAGCCCCATGTGTTATGACCTACTGGCTCTTGTGAACCCTTCTAGCCTCATCTCCCACCATTTGTGGCCTTCCTTTGTTATTTTCTAAATTTGGTAATTTTTTTTGTTTGTTTCTTTTGAGACAGGGTCTCACCCTGTCACCCAGGCTAGAGTGCAGTGGCAAGATCTTGGCTCGCTACAACCTCTGCCTCTTAGGTTCAAGCAATTCTCCTGCCTCAGCCTCCTGAGTAGCTGGAATTACAGGCATGTGCCACCACACTGGGCTAATTTTTTATGTTTTTGGTAGAGACAAGGTTTCACTATATTGCTCAGGCTTGTCTTGAACATCTAAGCTCAAGAGATCCTCCCAGAGTGCTGGGATTACAGGTGTGAATCACTGTGCCTGACCTAAATTAAATTTGGTGATTTTTATTTAATCATCAGCTTTCATTACACTCCAAAATATCCACCTACTTGAAGCACCCTTCTTTACCACACACCATATTCTATGCTTTTTCCTATCTCTAGGTTTTTCCCTATGCTTTCCCTTTTGTCTCAAGTGCCCCTTTTCTCCTGACTCCTGCCGATACATTCTTCAATACCCATCTCAGATTATACTTTGTGGAGGAGGTATAATCTGACTCTACTTTCTTGGGTTAGAAATTGCTTCTCTGGGCTCCCCCAGCACAGTCCATGTGTCTGTCAGAAGATCAGTAATGCAGTACTAAAATAATCCACCTCCCTCACCAGTCCAAAGTTACAGAACAGCAGACACTGTGTCTTACTCATGTTTGTATGACAGTGTCTGAAACAGAGAGGGCGTCTTCTCACTAAGTGTTTATGAGCCTAACATCTTGTACTTACAAAGTGATGTAACCCCCAGGCCACTTGCAGCCCTAGAAAAAAGGAATTAAAGAAGAAGGAACCAAAGGAAATTCTAACTGGACATGGAGGGCCTCATTAACTAAATAGCTTTTTCTCATCTTTTTCTCCCTGAAGAGCCAGATAAAACCCACAGGGCAAATGGGTACCCGCCTCTCCCCCACTGTGATGTGGGCAACGTTTTCCACAGTGAAGAGAGAAAACAAATGTGAGTTGCTTCTCCTCCTAAGAGTCTGACTTAGGAAAACAGAGTAGCCTAGCATTGTTGGTAATAAGGCACTTTCTCACTGAACGTCTTAACATGGAAGATACCAGATGCCACCAGCATTTGCATACTTACATGACATTGCCTTAAACACTTCTCTATTAAGATATGATATGCTCTTACACCCTGAAGCTTAAAAAGCACATTAATATACATCAGTTAATTTGACCCCACAGCTATTCTGTGAGAAATCATTACCACTTCCATTTTATAAAGAAAAAAGGGTCAAGAAAGGTCAAGCTAGTTGCTTAACTTCAATCAAACCCCAATTTTTAAAATTCTGAATTCTAATCCCATGTTATCCCATCCAAGTACTAACCAGGCCTGACCCTGCTCAGCTTCCGAGATAAAATGTGTTCAGGACAGCAAGGCCATAGATTCTAATCCCCACAGCGGCTTTCTTGATATTTTACTCCCAGTTAAACGGTAAAATCCAACTTGGGAGTTTTGTACTTGATAACTTCATGAAACAAATGTTTATTGAGCATGTGCTCAGTGCCAGGCCCTGGTTACATGGCCATGACATTTCCTTTCCCTAGATCCCTTTCACCCTGAGTGGCGTTTTGTCTTCTGAAGCCCATCAAGGCACTCCAAATGACTCGAGGCTCCTCAGTCCTCAAATCACAGACACTGCTGTTCTCATATTTTTGGTTTAAAATGGGTTCTTGGCTGGACACGGTGGTGCTTTCGGAGGCTAAGGCAGGCGGATCACGAGGTCAGGAGACCACGACCGTCCTAGCTAACACTGTGCAACCCCGTCTCTACTAAAAATACAAAAAATTAGTTGGGCGTAGTGGCACTTACAGTACCAACTACTAGGGAGGCTGAGGCGGAAGATTCACTTGAAACTGGGAGTTAGAGGTTGCAGTGAGCCGAGATCGTGCCACTACACTCCAGCCTGGTGACAGAGCAAGACTCCGTCTCTAAATAAATAAATAAAGTGAGTTTTAACTGTCTTTAATCTCAAACTCTAGCTCTGGTTAGTTAACACTGGTTAGTTATACCCAGTCTAGCTCAGTTCCCAGAGCAGCAAGGTTTAAAGGCAGCTGACTTGGCAGCAATTTTTAGCAGGCTTTGGGGTGAGAAAAACAGAAGGTTAAAATTCTGACTTCAGGCCGGGCGCGGTGGCTCAAGCCTGTAATCCCAGCACTTTGGGAGGCCGAGGCGGGTGGATCACGAGGTCGAAAGATAGAGACCATCCTGGTCAACATGGTGAAACCCCGTCTCTACTAAAAATACAAAAAACTAGCTGGGCGTGGTGGTGCGTGCCTGTAATCCCAGCTACTTAGGAGGCTGAGGCAGGAGAATTGCCTGAGCCCAGGAGGCGGAGGTTGCGGTGAGCCGAGAACGCGCCATTGCACTCCAGCCTGGGTAACAAGAGCGAAACTCCGTCTCAAAAAAAAAAAAAAAAAAAAAAAAAAATTCTGACTTCAGCATCTATTAACTGTGTGATCCCAGCCCTTAAGTTCTCTGATTCTGATTACGTTAGCATAAAATGTGGCAGTATAAGTGTCAGAGGAGTTCTGTGCAAATTAAGATGATAATACAGCATTGTGTTGAAAAGAAAACCAAACACATAGCCCACACTTGGAATGAAATACATGGTACCTAATGTTATTTCCCATGAGGATGAATTAATTCTCTATTCATATTCTCAGTCTAAAAATACATTTTGCCACATAATGCTTAGCGTGAGAGGGTGATAATTGAAAGTGAGGGGAAAACAGTTAATTGGGTACACATGGACATAAATATGGACACAATAGACACTGCGGAATAAAAGATGAGGGAGGAAGGGAAGGGGACAAGGGTTAAAAAGTACCTATTGAGTACTATGCTCACTACCTGGGTGACACATACAATCAGACACCAAGCCTGAGGATCATGCACTATACGTTTCACAAATCTGCCTGTGTACCTCCTGATTCTAAAATAAAAGTTAGGAAAAAAAAAACACTTAAAAATTAAGATAGGGAGGAAAAGCAATGAGTATTTGCCACACTGCAACTGTAAAGCAGGTATACTCACAGGCAGAAAACAAAATAACAAAAAATTGCGTAAAAGGTTCAGTTAAAGATGCCATGGCAACCTGGTACATGTAAGGGTGTATATATAGCTCTCTCTTTGGAATAAATATAGGCAAACCAAAAGCAAAGTGGTCTTATTTGTGATCAAAGGACACGTTAAATGAAGTGTTCAGCAGTGCTGGGGTAGGGATATACCGGGGTATACAATGACAGGTATGTAAATAGGAAAACCTTGGGCTAGCAGGGAGCTTGCTACAATGGTTATATCAGCATGTCAGCCATGAGTCAGAGGTGCTGCAAAGATCCCTCCTGTTCCATTACCCTCTGCTCCTAGGGTCTATATCCTGTGGTTTCATTCCAACAGACAAGACAGCTTGGGACACACTGTAGAACAAATGAAATAAAATCACCCGAGAAAGTTTCTCCTGGAATCAGAACCACTGAAAACCACTTACATTCCAGGCTCAGCAAGAAGCAAATAAGCTTTCCTTTGTGGCACGCATGCCTGAGCTGCACAGAGAGCTGGAAGCACGGCAGAAGGCAGCCCCGCTGGTGCTACAGAGGGAGTGGAATGGCGAGAACTTTCTCCCCTGCAGACACAGCCCAGTTTAGATCTCCATGGCATGTGGGAAGACAGCAGCAGCATCACGGTCATTTTTCAAGTGTCTAACATTTGAAATCTCTGTAGGAGTATCAAATGCTAACAACTGGATTCCTGCACTGCACTTTCAAACTATTCACTGATGTCCCACAAAGAGTGCTGGGGAAGATAGAAAGGTTAATATTACCTTTTCTAAGAAGTGTCATTTGACAGCTGGCCTCCTTCCTAAAAAAAAGTTTCTAGATTTTTAAATTTCCCTTTGGACAGTGAAACATGAAAATTACACACACCGCTGGCACTGGCCAACCAGCAGCTGAGAACAGTGTCAGGGTCCTGGTACTGGATTAGGAGTCTAGGGACTTGGGTTCAAGTCCTGGCTATAAGACGTCTAAGAAATAATCCCCTTAAGCTTCACTTTCGTTATTTGTAAAAATGAAAAGGACAGTAGCTTACCTGCCCTGCCTACTCACAGAAGAGCTGAGAGGATATTGGTTAAAGTACCATGTAAATCCTAAGTCTAATGGTTTGGGTGTAGTGTGGTCACACGACAGGTCCTTCCCCTGCCTGCCTCAAGAGGCCCAGTCACCACGCTGATTACATGGACCTTGTCGATTTTTCTGGGGAAAGCAGAACAAGGGCATCTCATTCTTTACCTTCTTTTCATTGACATCCACTTGTTCCTCTTCCTCATTTACTTCTGCTGGCATTTCTTTGATTTTGTTCAGCAGCTCAGCCTTGGGAGCAGACACACTGTAATAGGCAGGGCAGTTGACCAACATGCCCACTGCTTCCTTGTCTTCATTCCTAGACCATAAAGAACACAAAGTACAGTCACACGGAGCACGCCAGAGGCTTCGCTTCACCGCAGATGTCAGTCCATTCAGAAATGCCTAACAATTCTATTTAATTTCTTTCCCTGAAATTAGGATGAACTAGTAACTGTTAACTAATGAGTGATTACTATGTACAGGGCCGTTGAAGCCAGGCAAACCTGGGATGGAAAACCACCAAAGGCAGTATTAGGGATGACAGTGGGGGCCGAGACTGTGGTCTCGCCAGCTGGCTAAGGAGAAAATATTTAACCTCTCTGCTTTTGTGATTCATGTCAGAATGATACTGACTCCTTATTTCAGAGAAAGGCAGTGTGGAGCCATGACTCAGTCAGTGTGACAGTATTTTCAAGGTGCTGCACAAACCTCAGGTTTTAGGTCAATTACTTCCTATATGCCCTTGGTTATGTGTAATTTTCCAGTGCCTACTATGCATTATTGCTTGAATACACAAAAATTTTCCTTCTCAAGTACACCTGCTACCCCACATAAGCCTGGGAAATCTGCAGCTTGCTGGTCCACAGTGAACTAATACAAGCTATAAAATCTACTCATTGATAATATAATAGGCATGTTTCCAGGCTGAAGAAAAAACTCAAAACTGAGAAACCTGATGTCTACTGTTCTGTTTTACCACGTTTGAGTTGCCTTTCAGCCGACAGTTCATATCCTACCCACTGAATAAATGACTATGGAAGTAAGATTCGGAACTTTACTCAATCTTGTGATATCATTTAACATCTAGCCCACCATTTTACTATGGAAAAACGCACACACACACACAAAAACCATCTTTACTAGTTTCCTGCTTGATAACTGTCCCCAAAAGCAACAATGATCACATTTAATCCAGTTAATCAAAAGACAGGGAAGAGATTTTCTGATATATTTTTGTTTTTGTTTTCAGGTATGTATGCTGCATTACAAATGAGCTTCTCCGGCATCTGACCAACGCTCACAATGGCCACTGGCCGTCTCATGCCCAAAAGGACAGTGTTTATTTCCACCAGGAGATGGCGCATGACTTTTTTTTTTTTTTTTTTTTAAATCCCCAGGAAGGTCTCAGTGCTGCCAGAAACTACATGACCATTCCGCTGCTAAACTGACGGATCAAACAGGTATTTTCAGTGGTCATGCTAGGAAATACTTTTCTAAGGATTTTACCTGGGTCCTTCTACAGCCAGTGGTCAGAGAACAGAATGAGCATACTGCAACCACGCACAGTGAACTGACTGGCACACCCACAAAAATCTCATCTCTGGGGTGCCCCTAGTACCTAGTGGATTGCCTTGCACGCTGCAGGTGCTCAGTGTTTGGTAAAGACCCGACCCTGGATAAGTCACTTGACCTCAATTAGTCTGTTTCCCAAATCTGAAAAAAAGAGGAGGGAGATGGACAAGGTGATGGAAGGGCCTCTGACAACAAGACAAATAGCTTATAAGTATCACATCGCTCTTTCCTTTCTCTCTCCCCCCGCAAAATGAAATGTGGTGGTCCTGTTAGTAATTTAGTTAGAATCAGTGGGAAATTTTTTAAATGCAAGCCCAAATTTGGATAAAATGTTCTGTTTTTATTTAGTCTGGAGGCCACTAACTGCTGAGTCCCAGATTGTCCATCCACAAAGATTTCATCGAAAATTAAAGAGAAAATGAAAACCACTCAAACTGTCTCATCGTAGTCCTTTAAGGAAATAAAACATGCAAGAAAGTATTGCAGTAACCCAGGAAAAATGAAAAGCATCAAAAACACGGACTGCTCACTGGGACACAAGTTACATGCCTAGCCTCAAGGAGCTTCAGAAGCAGAGGCTCATGGACTGGGCAAAACCAGAGAGTGGGCCCCTATTCAGACCTTTCCTGATTTTCAGGATTTGCACCAACACCCACCTTAATGTCTCAAAGGTAAGGGTCAGTGTAGTAAATGAATCTATTTCTCTAGGCTCTCCTCCTTACTAAGCCCCTCAGTCTTGGCGAGGCGTTGGCCACGCTCACCACTCCTACTTGTTCCTTTCATGGCACCGAGCTCTGGGGGCCTCTCTGCCAGAGCAACTCTGATGCAGAATGGGCAACTGCATTTTTGCTGAGCTGGCGGCACTGTGTAATTGCTGGAAACAGGCACAGTCATGGGGTTGTGATCAAATCCAGGTACCATCACTCACATGTTCAAAGACCTTGGTCTTAATTCCTCTCTACTTCAGTTTCCTCATTTGTAAATGGAGATAAAATTGGTAGCTACCTCAGAAAGTTCTTGTGAAAATTAAATGAGACAACAGTGATATGAAAAATTTAATATGCTGCTTGACACACGGAACATACACAATGGGTATTAATGGCAATTATTATCAGTTACTATTACTTTGTTGTTGCCTATCTGTCCCACATCCTTACTCCCCAGAACCGTTCCCCAAGACTGAGATGCAATGACACTCTTGGGTCAGGAGCTGTGGAAGTAGGAAAACATGAGGCAACTAGCCCTAGACTTATCGTCATGGAAGGAGTTTGATTATAAGTCTCTCTGAGGATATCACCGGGGACTTACCTTTTGCCTTCACATCCTGAGCAGCTGACAGTTCTCTGTATGGCCTTCCTCTTTACACTGTTTTCCTTCAGCAAGTTCACATCTCGGGGAAATAAACCTTCCATCAGGTCCATCGTTGTCTTCAGCCTGGAGTCTGGATCCAGAATGTCTGCTAGAGATTTGTCTTGGTGGACAATTTCCTTGGCGAGAGCCTCTGTTCTAATGTCTTCTGAGCTCTTCTGAGGATCAGAACTGACTTTCTTTTCTAAACCCTGAGTTCCATTGACTGGATCATGGGTGAGGCTTTGAGTCTGGGTGGGTGCTGGCTGCCCACAAGACCCAGCAAGTTGGGGCTGCACACTCATGATGGAAGGTGGTTTGGATTCAGCCTCTGAACCCTTGATAGAAGTCTGGAGTCTGGAAGCCAGTGTCTGACTACCTACCACATGGGCTGCATCAGGCACATGCCTTTCCCTTGCAATTGTCACCTTAGAAAGTTTGTTGGAGCTGCCAGGGATATTTAAAAAAAAGAGAGAGAGAGAGAGAGATGAGAAGGGTGATGATAAGTGGGTGGAGGAAGACTGAGGGAGAAGCTTTTCTATGTCAGGGCTGCAGCTTTCCACATCTTCCTGACAGAGCTAACATTAAAGAATGTGGTTCCTGATTACAAGTGGGTCTCCCGATACTGAACCCCCACATTAAAAATGTTTACCTGCCTAGGCAGAGGTCATGCTAGACACACAAACACGCATAGATATATACATAGGAGTAGGATGAGATAGTCGCATTTCTGAGTTCAACCCCTTCTCTGGAAAACCATAGCACTCTAAAATAAAGGGCCTTCTCCTGAGCCCAGCAGATGGTCAGGAGGTTGTCATCTCCTGAGGAAGATGGATTCAACAGGAATTCAGTTCTGGTGAATGTTGCTGTTAGATTCCAGAGATTTCGGAAAGGTCTAGGTGAACAGGGGGTGGTAGTAGCAAGTCACTCTTGTGGCGTTTAAAGGAGGCCACTCCAAAGGTGCTATCAGGCAGTATGTTTCTTTGGTGTTTGGAGAGATCACTTGTCCTAGGGACTACGTGTTGGGGAATGCTTCTTATTCTCCTAGCTTCCAGGAAGAGGTTTCCCTAAACGTTACTGACTTTGAGCCCTACTCTTTATTCCTCCCTATGGACATTCACATCCCAGTCTCTTTCAAGAGTGAGGCTGCCTCAAGGCTGTATCTATTAATATCTGTGTGTGTTTGTGTGTCTAGCATGACCTTTGATGAGGCAGGTAAACCTGTTTAACTTGGGGGTTCAGTATTAGGAGACCTACTTACAATCTGAAGCCATACTTTTTAATGCTAGCTCTGTCACTAATAAAAGTCATGTTTTTGTCTTCTATATGCCCTCCTCTTTTGTCTGATTTCCTGATTCAGAATTCAGCCAGGGAGGAGGGATTTACTTGAACCCCCTTGAGACTATCCTGTCCCCAGAAGTGAAATGTACCCCTTGGGTCCCAACTTTCATTTCTGCCACCCTGGCTCCTCCATACCCAATGACACTGGTCAAACTACCTCCTGAGGCAAACAGATGAACAGTGTCCTGAGCTGAGCTGAATAGAAACATCTCCACGCCAGGGCTCTTCTGTCGCCAGCAGGACCAGGGCCACCTGGGGCATGACACTCTCCTATGAGGGAAACCAACCCAGACTGCTCACTCACCTGGGATGTGGCCCCTCGGGGTCCTCACTGTCCAGCTGTGCCTCACACACAGCGTGGGGAGGAGGTGGAGGGAAGTCATCCGTGCTATATATCGGGGTTTCCTGACTCAGTGGAGGAGGTGGGGGTGGGGGAAGAGTTTCAAATGTGGGGCTGGATATGGCCTTGGGGTGCAGATCCCTCATAAACACTTCGTCGTCACAATCCTCACGAGGTGATGGGGAGTCCCACAGGATGGACTCAGATATTCGGAGGGAGATCCTCCCTGGAGTGCTTGGGGCCCCAACAGGCGTGTCTGGGTCGGAAGTGCTGCATGAACTTGGAAGACTTTGCTGTTTTTGATAGTGCTTGAGGTCTGCAAACTCAGGAGCTGAGGATTCCTCAGGAAGGCTGTCTTCTCTGGCTGTGTGGGCCCACTTCACTCGAGAAGGAGCCGGCCGCTGAGGCAACGAGACCCTCTTCCTCATTCCCTCTTCTACCCCATGCTCTGGGCCGTCGCCCTCACAGCCTCTTGGACCTGGAGGCTGGGTCAGGGTATGACCATTGCTTCTGTGGGTCATGGCAGGGGTGAAGGGCAGAAGAAGCTGTCGCTCTGTCTGACCATCCTGTGAGCAGTAGCCAGAGGGAACGGCTGAAGGCACAGGGGTGCCAAGTGGGGTCAGAGGTGTAGCCCTGGTGTCTGTGAGCTGCCCTTGTGTTTCTGCCAGTGGTGACCTGGGGCAGGGTGTCCTGCTGGCTTGCCTCTGATGGTCCGGAGTTCCAGGACATTCACTAGGAACGGAGGAATCACCGATGGCTTTGCAGCCTGAACCACCCCAACGAGGGGTGGGATGGTGGGAGAGCAACGGCTTCTCTTCTTGGCCTCTTTCTGAACAGAGTGACCTGGAAAGGCACACAGACAAAAGGGTTACAGCTCTGAAGAAAGGGGCAAACACGCAGCCCAAGGCACCTTACACAGATGAGAAAAGCATTTAAGAGGAAGGAGGACCTCCTTCCTTCTCCCCAGAAGCTGCACACTGTCTTCCCTGGCTGCTCATAGGAAGACCCAAATTAAACGAGTACTAGACAGGCATAAATTCCTTCAGGAAAATGTCACATGGAATGCCTGGGTTCACAAGGCATTTTCTTTTATTAACCTTCTCACCGCCCCCACATCCTGTACACACCATGCAACATAAGGCAGCTTTTGAGGACATGAAAACAAACAAGTGCTACATTTCTTCAGCCCCATTTAGGACTACTTCAGGAAATAACTCCCAGCTCTGGGGAGAAATAACGCTGCCTTCTTCTCGCCCAGTGTGATCCCCATGGGGGAGGTTGTTTTAAAGCATTTGCATAGGCTGCTGAATTTGAAGGTTTTATTTACAACTTTTGCTTACTCTCCTGGTGTTTTCATTTCATGTGATGAAAAATAAAAAGGAGGGGACAGTCTCACCTAAGGAGCTAATAAGCAGTTACCTCTGGAGAAAGAGGCTGGCGATAATAAGCAAATATGGTGCATGGTGATTTAAACAACTGTACTCTAGGCTCCCAGGAAAAACCCAACAATTCGTAAAACTTTATTATACTGTGTTCTAAGGGAGAAAAACCCTCAAAACAAAACAAAAAAGAGTCTGTGGCACTGCCTGCTGTGCAAGAGTTAATGTGAGGATAAAAAGATCTCCAGCGAACCCACTGTGATTTGTAAATTCCCTGTCTGCAGCTCCCTGAGTATGTGAGTGAATCTGGAGCACAGATGGCACGTTTCATCTCACAGATCTGACTCCTCTGGAGCGGTGACTCAGTCCCACAGCAGAGCAATAATACAGGGCTTGCCACAAGATCATCCAAGTGCCAGGCAAGCAGAATGCAGCATGTGGGGGGAAAAGATGGCAAGGTACCAAATTAGCTCTTCTCATGCCTTGATTTTTTCTTTATTATACATAGATGCAGATGATAGAATAAAGGGCCCACCTCTCTCTCAGATGCAACCTCTCCCTTCCCGTGACCAGTCCTTTTCATTCAGACATGGTTTCTTTAGCAGAAACCTCTCCATAGCAAAGTGTGGCCACTCTGCAGTTCCTAGTGGCTTCCCCAGTGGGCATATCAGAAACCCTGAGGAAGAAGACTCACTGGGAATACTCTTCACTTGTGTCTCATCCATCCTGGCATCCCCAGTACCTGGCACCAAGTACCCCCTCAGCAAGTGTCTGTTGAATAGTGACATCTCCTCGGCCTGACTGCTCTCCAGACTGCAGCATACAAACTGTTTTTAAACTCAGCATCCTCTAAGAGGATGTGGAGTTTGCTGAAATCTGATGTTTTAGTAACTAATTCAGATGCCTTTATTTTATTACATCTTGAGGCTTTTTAAAGGGGGAGACATTACTAAAACATACAACAATATACACTTATCCTTTAAAGATCCAGCCCAATAAACTTTTATATGTTTTCAGTTTGTGTGACCTTAGTTTACACACGCTAACGTGACTTTTTTTTTTAAGACAGAGTCTCACTCTATCGCCCAGGCTGGAATGTAATGGTGTGGCCTTGGCTCAGCTCTCTGCAACTTCTGCCTCCCCAGTTCAAGCAATTCTCCTGCCTCAGCCTCCCAAGTACAGCTGGGATTACAGGAGCCCGCTACCAAGCCCAGTTGATTTTTGTATTTTTAGTAGAGATGGGGTTTCACCATGTTGACCAGGCTGGTCTTGAACTCCTGACCTTGTGATCCACCCACCTCAGCCTCCCAAAGTGCTGGGATTATAGTAGGGTGTAAGAGGCTCACCCAGAGTCTGCCGATACGTATTCAGGAATCCTACTATTCAAGTATGGATTTTGAGAGCAATTAGTCTTACCCTTTTTTGTTTTGTTTAAAAAAAACAGCACTTTTTAAAAATTGTGGTTAAAAAAACCCATAAAATTTCATCTTAACCATTTTTAAGTTCAGTAGTGTTAATATGTTCACGCTGTTGTGAAACAGATCTCCAGAACTTTCACAAGTTGCAAACCTAAAACTATGTACCCACTAAATAATAACTCCCCATTTCCCCTCCTACTAACCCCTGGAAATCACTGTTTTACTTTGTGTTTCTATGAATTTGACTACTTTTAAGTACTTCATACAAGGGAAATTATACAGTATGTCTTTTTGTGACTGGCTTATTTCACTTCGCATAATATGTGGTAGCATGCGGCAGAATTTCCTTTTTAAGGCTGAGTAATATTCCATTGTATGTCTACACCACATTTTGTTTATCCATTCATCTGTCATGAACAGACATTTGGGTTGTTTCCACCTCTTGGCTACTGTGAACAGTAAATACTGCTGCTATGAACATGGATGTACAATTATCTCTTGGAGACCCTGCTTTCAATTCTTTGGGACATATACTCAGAGGTGGCATTGCCAGATCATATGGTAGTTCTATTTTTAATGTTCTGAGACCTCCATGCTGTTTTTCACACGGCTGCACCATTTTACATTCCCACTAAGTGTGCAAGTTTTCCAGTTTCCCCATATCCTCACCGACATTTGTTGTTTTTAATAGTAGCCATCCTAATGTGTGTGAGGTGACATCTCATTGTGGTTTTGAGTTCTCTAATGATTACTGGTGTTGAGCATCTTTTCACATGCTTGTTGGTCATATGTCTACCATCTTTGGAGAAATGTCTATTCAAGTCCTTTGCCCCTTTTTATATAGACAAGTACATTTTTATTTTGGAAATTAACAAGTGAATGTCTCAATTCAGTTGGATTGGTGTCCTCTAGTGTTTGTTTCTTTCACACTGAAGATAAAAAGAATGAAAAATAGTTTGAAAACAGAAAAAAAGATATAATAATGATAACTATTGTCTTTTTGTGACCCATGAAGGCATCAAACTCTTATAAAACTTGAACAGTACAAAATCTCTACTTTTCTATAAATTAGAACATTTAATGTTTTTTAAAAAGCATTAATGTAAAGTCTGAATTTCATGTATTTAGGGAGAATTATGGCAGAGTGGAGGAAAACTGACTGAACCTAATAAGCATCCATGGAGAAGAGAGGGCACATTCCTCCAAATTCTACTTTCCAAATTGTTCTGACGCATTTCACTATTGTCCACAGTTGATGTGACTCTTATCTTCTTACTATGATTAACAGAGTGACTACGGTAAAAGACCATGCAAACCTTTAGGAAAAAAAAAAGAGTGTTATACTGTTTTGTGTCTTCTTGGTTGTAATGGTTAGAAAAACAAACTGCAAGCAGAATTTTTAGTATTCAAAATTCATAGCACGATCTGTGATCAAGTCCTACCCATGTTTTCCTGTTGGCTGCTTCTGTAGTGACACTTTCCATGCGTATGCTTTTCCCCAGGACAGCTAAGAATTACATGTCCTGAAATTATCAATATCCTTTTTAGCAAGCACTATGCATGTAGCTGCACCTATGCTAATGTCAACTGCCAAAGAACAGGACAAGCATTTCAGTTATTCAGTGGTAATGTGGTGCTTGTCATACTTATTCTTTTGGCATTTTTACAGCTCATAACGCTTTTTTTTCTTTGAACACAGAACTAATTTTGTTGAGGAAGGTTTTTTCCCCTGCTAAAATTGCTACCTGTGTTTCTCAGATTGTCAATATTGTCACTGAGCCAACCAGCCTCCTCCCCCTTCCCCTGTCACCTTCAATTATTTTTTTACTTTCCAACTTTTATTTTAGGTTCAAGGAGTACATGTGCAGGTTTGTTACACGAGTAAATTGCATGTTGCCAGGGTTTAGTGTACAGATAATTTTGTCACCCAAATAGGCATAGTACCTGATGGGTAGTTTTTCAATCCTCACCATCCTCCTACCCTCCGCCCTCAAAGAGGCGCAGTGTTTATTGTTCCCTTCTTTGTATCCATGTGTACTCCTCCCACTTGTAAATGAGAACATGCAGTATGTGGTTTTTTGATCCTGTGTTCATTTGCTTAGCATACTGGCCTTCAGCTCCATCCACGTTGCTGCAAAGGACAGATTTTGTTCTTCTTTACCTTTGCCCATTTTTAAATAGGGTTATTTGATTTTCTGTTTAGTCCCACCTTTGATTTCAGACCAATTTTCTTTAGCAGTGCTCTAGTTTATTGAGTTTTCCCTTGTTTCTAGCTTTTAATTAATACATCCAAACTAACCAAAGTCCTCAGCCTCACTTGAATACTTTCTTCCTTGTCAACACAGCTACAGGAGCAAGAGCATATAAACATGGAAGGCTGACGCTGGCTGGAAAGCGGGTCATTAATACCTACTTTCTGAACATGTTGGCTGCTTCTACTTGACAGTGTTAGGTTGAGTTATTAAGAAGATGAACGTAGAAGCAATGATTGAATAAAATATAAGAAATATTAAGGAAACGGCTTAAAAACATGGAAAGGAGTAGGTAGGGTGTAGGTTTATCATTAGTAATAATAGATTATAGTAGATAACTCTGTAATGCTGCATTAAAACTACATACAGGGTACATGGTTCAGAGAAAACCCTTTTTGGAAATTTCTACTTATTAAGTCCCACGTGAACAGTTCAAACTTTTTAAATTTTAAAAAAAGTTTTCATTGCATTTTCTACCTAGGATATGATTTTGATGGCATTAAAAAAAAAAAAAAAAAGACTTTCCTCTGCTTTCTAGCCCCACACGTATAAAATTATGATTTTGAGCTTTATATTTCACCTCCAATGCTTTCAGTTTGTCTTCCTCTGTGAAGCTGTTCATGAAATGCCCATTGTTCCCTAGCACTGTAGTCACCAGATGTGATGCTTTGCACACAGAGCTGGAAGAGATCAGCCCACACAGGAGGCCCTGTTTGTGAGCACCATGGGACATGCCTGAGAAAAGTGCCTCCATTAATTATTCTGTTGTCAAACTGGCTAGAAGTCAACCTTGTCCTCAACAGCACATGTTCAAAACCTATTTTGAACAAGTGTCATTCTTAAAGAAAATCATTTCTAAATGGAAAGTAAAAAGTTCCATGGCCTAGACAAATCAAAAAAGCAGGTGACACTGTAAGACATCATATTTCAATTTCTTGTAGAAAGGAACAAGAGTAGTTTTACACCAGCAGCATTCACACACAGAAGGCATCATAAGTACACATACATACCTAGATCCAGGGCCAGCCAAATAACATTGATCCTTGATAAGATCAAAGCCGTTTTCTTCCCCCAAAAGCACATCCTGGAAACACAAGAAAGGCACAGCATTACTACCAATAAACAGGTGTTTAAATTTGCTAAGGGTGTGGAGGTAAAAAGGAGAAAGAACACTTATTTCCTGGCAACCTACTTCTGTCAGGCCACATGGTGGTACTCTTACATAAGCCCACAGCATTGATGCAGGCGATAAGCCAAGGATTTAAAAAAAAAAAAAAAGTGGCCGAGTCAGAATTTGAGCTTCAGTCTGTCTCACCAGGTTCCTCCTCTAGCAAGGATGTTTCCTAAGTAAGAGAAGTCAAACAATTATCTCCAGAGTTAAAAACAACTGCTAAACTTGAAATATGATAAGGAAGACAATGAATTCAATGGGCCAAACTTTCCAAATGGCAATAGGGAAATACGAGAGATGACAGGAAAAGGATAAGCCATTACACTGTGCAAAAATTTCAAATGTTCTTAGTTACAATTAGTGAAGATATGAATTTGGATTGTAATTGGGTTGCAATACATTCTGGGAAAAATTTGACTCACATGTGAGATCAATAACCCTGGAGACTTTTCAGGGGTAGTTTTTGTTTCTGTTTTAATGAGCATATATACTAGTGTCCTGAAAGGGTTGTCAGTTTTTGATAGTATACAATTTGGTCCCTGTAATCAGGTCCATGATGAAGATGATGATGTTGCCATTTATGATAATACATTCAACTCCGACTTATTTACGATGACAGCAAACAGACAAAAACCAGAAAATCCATATATAATCTCCAACTTAATTTCAGTAATTTATTTTGCCACTTAACCCTGCTCAAAGGGTTAACTGCTTTTCACCCCGTTCCTCACTGTTTTCGTCCAGTGGTTGAGAAACTATTAAGCAATAAAAAGGGTCAAAGGTGGCAGCAGGCAGAAGAAACAAACCCCTGAACATTATTCATAATTGCAGCTATCCCTACTGGGTATTTACTGCATGCCAGACACTCTGCTAAGTATTCTGCACCAACAAATTATATGCCTGGAATATTAGGCACTTTACTTTTTTGGGGGGGGAGGGTAACTTAATCTTTACAACAATTGGAAGTGGGGTCTCTAATTGCAGCTCATTGAGGTGACATATCATGCCCACAGTTACGTAAGTGGTGAAACTAGGACTCAAGCCATGATATCTTCAAAGCCCAAGGTCTTGCCATGGAATCTTTACAGGCTGAACAGCAGCTGGGCTGGATGCAATCAGACTTAAACGGCTTGAGAAAAATGAATGCCATGTGTTCTGATTCACTCAAATATCACTGTAGGGAATGAGAATTCCTGTTCTCCATGAAACTTTATGCTCCTTTAAAAGTCTTTTCCCACCACTTTTCCCTCTGTTGACATGAATGTGCCACCTCGTCAACAATTAACTGAAAAAGCCTAGGTCCCATGTGAGCTCCTAACCCAGTAAAGTATAAATATATATTCATATCCTATTATAGCCTTTACATTTCAGTTTGACAATGAATCTAACTTCTGTAGTCATATGATTTGGCCCCTAGAATATCAAGCTTAAAATGGTATTTATGTGGATGTGGATAAAATAAAGGAATTAGACCCAGCAATAAACTATTGAGTGAATTTTCTGAATCTGCTGTCAATCAAAATACCACTTGGACAAAGGAAAATATCTTCCCAACCTCATAGAAGCCCAAAGAAGATAAATTCCTGTTGCATTTTCTTGCTTTAATTTGAGCATATATTCACTGTCAAAGAGGACTATTTACTATAAACTGGTAGAAAATACAAAGTACTTATGGCAATTATGGGAAAAAACAGTGGCTATGGGAAAAACACTAGGCATAGAATTATACCAACTTGTTAAGTGTCTAATTTGTTTTTGCTAATTATCTCAAAATTGACTTAAAAATACACCAGTTCTTAGCATACTTAATAACATAAATCTGAAGTCTACTGAATCTCAATTCTCTTGTTTTGGGTTCCAAATTAGTTAACTCAATATGTCTGTTGCTGATGAAACATGAAGACAACAATATTCACCTGCTTTAGAATATTAGTTTCAAGTAACTACTAAAAATAATTAGAAATCCTTATGAAAAATCTTATGTGAAAGTACAGTTACGTGTCACTTAACAACAGGGATATGTTCTGAGAAATGCATCATTGTGCAAACATCATAGCGTGTGCTTACAGAAACAGACGACACAGACTATTACATCCGTAGGCTATATGGTATAGGCCTATTGCTCGTAGGCTACAAAACCGTACAGCATGTTACTGTACTGAATACTGTAGACAGTTGCAATGCAATAATATGTATTTTTGCATCTAAACATGGAGAAGGTACAATAAAAGTATGGTATTATAATTTTATGGGACCACTGTCGCATATGTGGTCCATCCTTGACTATTATAAGACACATGACTGAAATAGTTATCAATAAACGTTAAAATGAAATAAATTCATTGGCTGATATTTTCAGATATAGGACATTCAATTCTTGCCTCTCTTTCCCCATTCTCAGCCTCTTATTATTCAAGGACAGGTCACGGTATAGTCTTAAAATCAGCCAAGACTTAAAGACTCTGCAGTCAGACAATATGGGGTCAAAATCTCACTCCCTTCTACTTTGGGCAAATTTTGTACCCTCTCTGTGACTTGATTCATTCTTCTGTAACTAAGAGATAATAATAGTATTTACCTCACTGCACAGATGTGAAGACTAATTTTATTTTATTTTTTCAGACAGAGTCTTGCTCTGTTGCCCAGGCTGGAGGGCAGTGGTGTGATCTCAGTTCACTGCAACCTCTACCTCCTGAGTTCAAGCAATTCTCATGCCTCAGCCTCCCAAGTAGCTGCGACTACCGGTGCACACCACTATGCCTTGCTAATTTTTGTATTTTTAGTAGAGACAGAGTTTTGCCATGTTGGCCACGCTGGTCTCAAACTCCTGGCCTCAAGCAATCTACCCACCTTGGCCTCCCAAAGTGCTGGGATTACAGGTGTGAGCCACTGCACCCAGCCAAGACTAATTTTATACTTAAAAAAACACAGTACAATGACCGACACACAGCAAAAATTTGACTACTGTTAGCTATTTTTATCTTTACATTTTGTGGAAAGTTGATTCTATTTTGTATAGTCTTGAATGCGTGCTTGTGAAAGGGTGCTAAAAAAGACAAGTTACATCCCACAGAATCAAGCCTATATCCAATATTGTGGTTCCATGCATTGAGCAATTTCTTCAGCAATTAAATAATGTTTGTCACACATCTCACAGTGTGTATGTTACACATCACACATGAAGGTCCCTGAAAATACTGTGAGAACCAGAGAAATCTCTCACTTAGCATCTGGGGAGAAAAATCCCCACCAGTAATCTGATTTCTCCAAGGGTTTTGCTTTATAGCCTCTATTACATTTTATGTCTACGCATGAACAAGTATACATTTCTGTCTCTAAGGCAGAAATACTGGATATCTTTCTGTAGCTTTGCAGGTCCTACACACTTTCAACAGGTTGAGTTTTCCAAGGTCTCACAGAAAGAAGGTGGAAACAGGCAAGAGTCTGATGTGCACTTAAGCTCCATCGCTAATATCTATTTGTCCTGCAATGAAGAGGAATTAAAGGAGAGGAAAATGGAAGCCTGCATGTTTCAGGGAGGATCTCAAGCTGGCTGAGGAGAGGCCAGACCTGTCAAATACCTGAGAAGATCTCAGGCTACAAGTAGTTCAAAATGGAAGCCTCCTGCAGTCACTATTTCAGGCCAGAGATGGGTCAACTGTCATACGCAGAGGAACTGATTTCCATGATGACTTTGTTTGTGGAGGCAGAAAGTGTCCTCACTAATGAGAATTTTGAAAAAAAGCTAAATCCTTGTCAAAAACTTGTAAAATCCTGCCCTGTCAACATCTGACTGGTAAGAACAAGCAGCATTTGTTGGGGATAGCATCAACTAAGCCAGCAGCAGAAACACACTCCACGTTTTGGTTTTAACTCAGGCGGACAGTCTCTACAAGGTCACTTAACTTGTCAGAATTCTCTAAAGCAAGGATAAGAAAAATTACTGATTAAAGGCCGGGCGCGGTGGCTCAAGCCTGTAATCCCAGCACTTTGGGAGGCCAAGGTGGGTGGATCATGAGGTCAAGAGATCGAGACCATCCTGGTCAACAAGGTGAAACCTCATCTCTACTAAAAATACGAAAAAACATTAGCTGGGCATGGTGGTGCGCGCCTGTAATCCCAGCTACCCAGGAGGCTGAGGCAGGAGAATTGCCTGAACCCAGGGGGTGGAGGTTGCGGTGAGCCAAGATCGCGCCATTGCACTCCAGCCTGGGTAACAAGAGTGAAACTCCATCTCAAAAAAAAAGGAAAGAAAGAAAGAAAATTTACTGATTAAAAACCTTCCCAAAAGCTTACTGATAATGTTCTTGGAATTTATTCAAATAGGAAAAAATATATACAATAACCACAATAGTTACGTGGTGAGAGTAACTTTGTTTTATTTTTAACTAATCATAACTACAAATAAGGCAGATGATGAAAAGGATGCAAGGAGCAGACTGCCTTGCCATGCAATGCTTCTCCAGTCAGCTAGGGTCTGGCTGCTGTTCAGGAGATGGGGAGACGGAGGAAGCTCAAGAACGGGGTTCTGGCACAGTGACAATATAGGAGATGATGCATTGTTCAGAATTTTCAGAATTTGTTGAAGCAAAGCAGTATGAAAGAAGTATTTCATTTGGAAATATTTCCCCCCTGCCTTTATATTCCCCAAATTAATTAATATCTAAATATGGCATTCCCTTTATGAAAAGGGTGCCCCAAGTACTGTTCTGTATTCACTTGTCTTTCTAAAAAGTTTTCCAAATAATACAAAGTATTTAATTGGGATTTGAAGGAATCTCTTCACTTCTCGCAACAGCCATGTTTTAGCTTTATTTCTTTATCGACCAGGCTTAAGAAATATTTTGGGGAAAAGACAAGATAACATTCATAGCTATTCAACCAATTCTCTGAGACAAAATAACTATATCTAATGGGGAATAAATAATAATGATTTGGTTTTCAGCTAAGCGTTTCTATTTTCCTTAAAACACAGGGAGAGAAATGAAGGGAGAGAAGTGAAGAAGACCACTATATAGTTAAGTTGCTAAAGTCTATCAAGCTAGATGAAATTTAGTGTTACATATATGGATTTTAAATGTGTGTTAGTGGTAGGATAGGGAGTGGGAATTAGCTCTGTTCATTCTGAAGGCAGGAAAAGGCTACTGAAGGCTTACGGGAAGTTGCCTCTACATTTCTAGAGGGCTTATACTGGGAGAAAATATTTCTGTACAATTCTAAACAGGAAACACTTGGGAGGGGACTTTCTCTCAGAAGGGTGTGGGTCTGTGTGTGTGTGCATTAGAAAGAGTGCAGCAAACTTCTCAGCCAGTAACTGCTGAATCTTTCTTTGTCTGAACTGGTTTTCAATCAATGCATCTCCTCCCCCCTGATCTCTTGTCATCATGCCCATCTTTTACACCCTGGCCCCAAATCCCACTTCCCTTCAGGAGAAGCAGTTGCTACTCAGATCACCTCAGAATTAATTACTTTCCTCTTCATAGCATATTATTGATCACCATTCCCAAAGCATTCACTAGTCATATTAGAGTTATTTATATATACCGTCCTATTCCTTAATTGTGAACTCCAGAAAAGCAAGAGCCTTATTTTTTTTTCCTTTGTGTATCCTCCGCTGCTATAACACAGCATTTTTCATACGACACATGCTCTACAGATGCTTGCTGAATGGCTGACTTCAGCAAGGGAAAACAGCAGAATCTGACAGGGGCAGTAGAGCAGAGTTCTTCCTCCCCTGTGCTAACAGGTATGGGGTTCCTATTGTTTTCTTTGGTGGGAAGGAAAGCATGAGGCAGGCCACTGATCTCCAGTGGAAGTGAAGCCCGAGGATAGGCTAAGAATTAGGAAAATTAATAGGATCCTAAGAGTCAGAATGCTCAGCTTCTACTCCTAGCACTGCTTGAAATTTTCAGTGAAAAGTATTTTATAATCTTTGCAGCATTTAGTGCCTTTACTAGAAAATCCTTTTATGTGAGATTTTGAATTTCTGATTTTCCCTCCTCACCAGGATAATGCACACAAAGAGCTCAGATAGGAGTCCGAGAGACAGGGGTCTGACATATATAAAATACCCTACTGCACAGGATTATCGTGAGGATTAAACGAAGTAATAAATGTAGATTACACGTAGCTCAGGACCTGCCACACACTTAGCTGAGGGCCAGGAATTCAATAACCAATGACTATCAATGACAATAATTCTAGCTATTTTGTAGATGCAAAGTCCAATAGAAACAGAAAGGGTGCAAAGCTAAAATCTTTAAAATACTCAGACCCAAACTCTAATCCATAAAAAAACCAAAAACAAAAAAAGCAAAAAACAGAAAAGATAATCCCTAATTTTTCCTAGCCTTGTATTTTTGCATTGAGAGGTGTTGACTTCCTAAAACGAAGATATATAAAAACCTATATAACAATATAGTAATCTATATATCTGTATCTTTGTAAGGAAGCCAGGTAGGGACACTGAAAAACTCAACTCATGAAAACAAACGCTACTATTCTGTATTCTCAAGGAAAACTGAACTGGGAGAGGGGCTGAGAGGGTGAGGGGTTTGGGAGCCCCACTAAAGCTTCCAGGGAGGGAGGGAGGGACAGTCCGAGGCCAGGACTTGCTGGTTGCACGTACCTGGCGCTTGTCTGCGGTGGCGGGAGATGACCTGGACCTCACGTGGACAGGGACGGCGAGGACATCCGAGCGTTCCAGCAGGTCCTCTGCCGACATGGACTTCCCGGCCCTAGCCCCCCAGGAGGGTGGCTCCCTGGGGGTCTCATCCACCCTCTGGGTGTCCCTTGTTCCACCGTTTGCTCCACTGAGGAGGTCCCCGCGTCGCCGTTCCCCGAGGCGGCGGCCACCAGCGAAGGAGCTGCTGCGATCTCGGGGAGCCTGCGGGGTTTCTGCAACAGTGGCCGGCAGGAGCGTGGCCTCCCTACGGGGCTGCAGGCTGGGCTCCCGCAGCGAGCTCAGGCTGGAGGCCGAGGCGAGGCCGGGGCCTTCAGGCGCCGCAGGGCCGGGCTGGAGGTATGCGCTCTGGGCGCGCTCGCGCAGTGGCCCAGGCTCGTGGAGGCCACTGCCGGAGGCGGAGCCGGGCCACTTGCCTGTCTTGCGCTGGATGTAGTCGGCCAGGGCGCTCTGCTGGAACTGCTTCAGCTCGGGCCCGGACAGGCTGAGCGTGGAGCAGGCCTTGCCATCACGCTCAAAGAGGCGGCGCCGGTCGGCTACGCTGCTCTCCGGGAAACGCATCCCCTTCCTCTGGGCGCCCAGGGGTGCCGGTTCGGCCTCCTCCGCGACCCCCACCTCGTTCATCTTCTCCGGCTCCGAGTAGGAGCGCTTCTTCTGCTCGGGGGTCAGACGCCGGCGAGCCCCTCTCCGGGCGGCAGGGGGCGCGGGCCTGGCCAGGTCGCCCTCTGCCGGGGTCACGCTGTGCCGCTCCCGGGGCGTGTGCGGGGAGGCGGAGGCCGGCGCCTCGGGGCTCCGCAGCCCCACATGGGCCGAGGAGGGCCGTGGCCGCCAGGGCCTCGACGCCGCGGGCGCCCCTAGCTCCAGGTCCCGGCGTCGAAAGGAAGTGGCCCCCAAAACGCGGGACTGTGCGTCCTTGATGCTGTTCCGGTAGGCGTGGCTGAAGGGGGCATCCAGCAGGGGCGACTCGGGCGAGCCGGGCCTGTCCCGCCACTCGGCCTCCCTCTCGGGCTCGCTGGAGAGCTGGAAGGTGCTCTGGCTGCGGAGGAGGCGAGCGTCCGGCCTCTGGGGGCCGCGGCCGCTGTCCACGGCTCCTCCGCTCGGCTGCTGACCGCAGGGCTGCCGGGAGGCCTCCTCCAGCTTCGGCTCCCTGTTTTTGAAGTGCTGCTCCCCATTGCCTAGGGCTTCCACTGACTCAGAGAAACGCATGCGGGCTTTTGTCTCCTCGAAGTCATTCCCAGAAGTACTGGAAGTTGAGACGGCCCTGCGGGGCCTGTAGTTATGACCAAAACCGGGGCCGCCCACACTCGGTCTCTGGCTCCCTTGCTCTCGCTGCTCGAATTTGGAGACCTTCTCCAGCACCGAGCAGTGGGGCTTCCCGTACTGAAAGCCTTGCAGAGCCGAAGCGCTGCCCGGGCCGGGCCCCCTCCGGCCGAGACTGGATGTGCGCGGGTGCGACGGGGAGGGCGGCTCTTCGGGCCCTGGGTCTGCGCTGTGGAAAGAGGCCGAGGCACCAGCCCTCCCCTCGGGCCGTGGGTAGGAAACATGCCCGTCCACATGGCTCCCGAAGTCAGGAAGAGCTTTCCTCCCAGGGTCTTCCGCCTTGGTGTTGACTGCGCAGGTGGGCCTGCCCCCGGGGTAACTCTCCTGGGCTCCTCGGCCTAGCTCCAGGCTGCTGTGTCTTCTCAGACTCTCAGGAATGTTCTGGAGAGATGAGAAGGCTGACTTGGTCTTGCCGAAGTTGCCTGATAGACCCTGGCCTGGGCCTTCTCTCTCCAGCCGCCTCCAGAGGTTGGCATTGTGGTCTTCCTGGAAATCACCCTCCCAAGGCTCTGAGAGCCTGGAAGATCTGTCTTCACCCGCTTGCCAGGCCTGGGCCTGAGGGCATTTGAGGCTGTGGGGATGAGAAGATGGTCTGTTGCTGTGGGTGCCCTTTCTCTCATTGGGATGTGGGCTGCTGCCTTGGGGAGGTGTGAGATGTCTCTTCAGGGAGGCATCCTCCTCATTTTCAGGCACCGAAGAAAAACGGACTTTGGAGGGGACATACTTGGCTGTAGCTTCTGGCTTCTTCTCTACCGGAGACAGCAAGTCATGTTCTAAGGGCTGGCAGAAGGCAAACGCAGGCCTGCTAGATCCATTCTGGTTCCCATTCTCATCAATGGCAGCCATCTTGTTGCACGCTCCCTGAGCGGCTATGTAGCCACTCTCCTTGGCCAGTGCAGGGTAGAGAGTCCCGTTGCTACTCACAGAAGGCTGGGGCACCTGGGCAAAGTGTGGCTCCAGGGACGGTACCGGGTAGATGCTGGTCGGCAGCAGAGGTTGGCCAGGTTGGGCCTTCTGGGTATAATTATGCTTGGGCTTCACTGGGGGGCTGTTCTCTGGACTCTTCTCCAGCACAGGATGCAGCTGCTCCTCTATGAATGGAGACTTCAGGGAGCCTAAAGAGTTTGCCTGAAGCCGGCAGAGCCGTTTCTGATCAAGGCTAGACCAGGAGCTGGGCCGCTCTCGGTGCCGAAAGGCTGCGTAACTATCACTCCGAGCTGGAGGCAGGGGTGCACCCACTTTAGGAGGAAGGTTGTCAGTGGCAGTCTCCAAGGAACTGGGGCACTGCTGGCTCCAGGATGGGGGTGGCACTCCCTTGCCCCGAGGAATATTAGACCATTTATCATAGCCCTGACCATCTGCTGAGGCTCGGGCCTCCCTACCTTGAAGCAGCAGGGCTGAAGAGTTCACCTCATACTCTGCTGAGACTCCCCTCCGGGTGTCATAGACTGTCTTCACATAGCGAATATCTGCCTGCCTCATCCCTTCGAAGAGACCACCTCGAGCAGAAGTTGTGTCCATGGAGCCTGAACGCTCCCGGCCAGAGATGCCAGGGGGTGGATACTCTAGGATGCTAGAACTGGTGGAGAAAGAGCTGTAAGCCGAGTCTCTCTTGTTATGGAAGTGACTGAGCTGGTCAATGCTGCCGGTGGACTTGGCAGGGGAAAGATGGCAGGGTGGGTATGCCCCACTGGGCTCCAGGCTCTCCATGCTCCCCTGGGAGCTGTACTGGTCAGGGCTCCGCCTTAGATAGGCATGGTCATAGTTGGAGAGATCACTTGTAGAGGAGCTGGAAGAAAGGGAGACAAAGCAGTCAGCATCGCCAAGCTGTTTTCATTTAGTAGGTTTACAGGCACAGGACCCAGCTTATAAATGTTCTCTTGTGCAAGAGGCTTGGTCTTTGGAAGGGTAGGTAAAAAGGGCCATATTTGGGCCTTGCTCGGCCTCCTTGTATGTCGTCGCTAGGAGTAACTGCCCAACACTCTAACCTATGTGCCTCCAATTAATCACCCAGGCTAGCAAGGAGAGGAACAAGGAGCTCAGAGGAAGCCACGTGGCCTTTGGGCGCAGGCAGCATTTTTGATGTGATTTGCTGCATGCTGGAAATGACATTTTGCATGCGCCAAGAAATGACAGAGGTGGAAGAGTGATTGAGACTGACATTGTGTGTCCACTGCAGTTGTTTGTGTAAAGATGAGAAAAGCTTAGTAAGAGAACAGGCATGTGAAGGAGACTTCGTGTGCACATGTATGTTTTTAGTTAATATCTTTCCTTTTTATGGAATTGAAGGATACACCCTGGCAATCTTCCTGGAATCTCAACTGTACTAGAAACAATTTGTTTGTGGTGAGAAAACTAAATACAAAGCTGAATGACAGAAATTAGAGTCAGAAAAAGCTCATGAGAGGCAGAGAGAAGGGAAAGAGAGAAGGAGAGAAAAGCTTTACAAGAAGGCGTAATCACAGGGGCTCTTGGGTGCTGGGATTCCACCACCTGTGGATGACTTCCAAAAGCCTAAGCAAAGCCTCCTCATACATTTAGGAGTGCAAACCTTCTCATTTACAAGCTCCTCCAGATGGTTTTCAGATCCTGTCTGGAGAAGAGGGAAAAGACTATCAATCATGGCATTGTACAGCCCAGAAAGTTGTCTCAAAATAAAATTCCTTATAAACTCAAAATATAAATATTTTTTAAAACCACTTAAAACTCAACAATAAGAAAGCGACCTGATTTTAAAACTGGCCAAAGACATCCTAAGAAGATATACAGATGGCAAATAAGCAAATGAAAATCTGTCATCATAAGTCACGAGGAAATTACAAAGTAAAACAATAAGACAGGCGTCCCCAAACTATGGCCTGCGGCCCGCATGCAGCCCCCGGAGGCCATTTATTCGGCCCCCCGCCGCACTTCAGGAAGGGGCACCTCTTTCATTGGTGGTCCGTGAGAGCACAGTGAGCACAGTATGTGGCGGCCCTCCAACAGTCTGAGGGACAGTGAACTGGCCCTCTGTGTAAAAAGTTTGGGGACGTCTGCAATAAGATACTGAGGAACATGTTCTCAGGACCTCCTGAGGGCTGTGCCATAGGCAAAACCCAAAAGCAAACGGAAAAACAAACAAACAAACAGGATACCACTACACATCTATTAGAATGGCCAAAATCCAGAATACTGACAACACCAAATGCTGGTGAGGATGTGAAGCAAGAGAAACTCTCATTCATTGCAGGTGGTAATGCAAAACGGCATAGCCACTTTTTTAAAAGACAGTTTGGCAGTTTCTTACTAAATTAAACATACTCTTACCATATGAACCAGTGATCACATCCCTTGGCATTTATCCAAAGGAGCTGAAAACTCATGTCCACATAAAAACCCACACATGGATGTTTACAGCAGTTTTATTCATAATTGCCAAAACATGGAAGCAAGAAAGCTGTTCTGCAGTAGGTGAGTAAACTGTGGTATATCTACACAATGGAATATTATTCATTACTAAAAAAAAGAGTTGTCAAGCCATGTAAAAATATGAAGGAAACTAAAATGCATTTTACTAGGTGAAAGAAACCAGTCTGAAAAGGCTACAAACCACGATTACAATTACATGGCTGATGTTCTGGAAAAAGGAAAACAATGGAGACAATAAAAAGATCAATGGTGGCCGGGCGTGGTGGCTCATGCCTGTAATCCCAGCACTTTGGGAGGCCGCGACAAGCAGATCACCTGAAGTCAGGAGTTTGAGACCAGCCTGGCCAACATGGTGAAATCCTGTCTCTACTAAAAATGCAAAAATTAGCCAGGCGTGATGGTGGGCGCCTGTAATCCCAGTTACTCTGGAGGATGAGATAGGAGAATTGCTTGAACCGGCGAGGTGGAGGTTGCAGTCAGCGAAGATCACACCACTGCCTGGACAACAAAGTGCGAAACTCCATCTCAAAAAAAAAAAAAAAGATAGGGGTTGCCAGGCCTTAGGTCTTAGGATGATGCAAGGAGGAACAGGTGGAACACAGAGGATTTTTAGGGCAGTGAAACTATTCTGTACGATACTATAATGGTGAATACATGTCATTAGACATTTTTCCAAACCTACCAAATGCACAATACCAATGGTGAACCCTAATATAAGCTATGGACTTTGGGTGATTATGACGTGTCAACGTAGGTTTATCAGTTGTAGCAAATGTACTACTCTGAGGGGGTTGCTGGTAATGGAGGAGGCTATGCATGTATCGGGGTGGGGACTATATGAGAAATCTCTGGACTTCCTGTTCAATTTCACTGTGAAACTAAAACTCTAAAAAGTAAGTCAGTCTCTCACACACACACATACACACACACACACGATGTACAGGAAGGCATAAGTGGTTCAAATGTTTGTGACTCACTGTTTTCTAAAGGGTACATCACTAGGAGTTCTTGCTCAAGATTTTCCATTTTTAAATACCTAGGCATTTCAGCACTATTAAAATTCATGATGTATTCTTATATTTCTCGATCACATGTAAATAAATGTAGTGTCTTATTGGCCAAGTATGTGATAATACTTTATGGCTGGAATATTTCCAGAGAATATGCTAAGACCAGAAGAACCATATTCGGAGTCAAAACTTGTGCTGGAATTTAAGGAAAAGAAGACTACACCCTCAGCAACTCTCCTCAAGAATGTAATTTTTCTCTAGCAGAGAAAGTCAGCTTACTGAGTGGCGTATCCTACTCTAGGAAGGATAGGTATAAATTCAAGGGAGAAAGGAAGGAAATAGCTCCCATGCCAGCCAGATCAGGGAAACTAGACCCAGCACTCAATGGCATGCCATATGTCAAAGATTTTACCCCCACCCCGAATTTCTTCACTACCCTCTAAATGAAGAGTTCATACTAAAAAAAAAAAAAAAAAAAAAAAAAAAAAAGAACACTAGACAGCCTCATTGTGGATAATCCTGTAGGACCCACTCTGCTTCCTTTTTAGAGCTAATACTTCCAGGGAAAATGGAACTCCATAAGGGCCATTTTGTTCACAATTTCTATGAAGGTAGTAAACATTAGGTCATCCTCCTTCCAACTGCTGAGAATTTTAGCAGTGTTTCATTGAAAGGATAATTCAAATCTAACTTAGGAACACACACACAAATCAAAGTAAATAAACTGATGGTTAACTGAAACACTGAGTGGAAAAAATGCCATCACTAACATATCTTAAAATATAGATGGTATCTAGAAATATGAAAGCTCTGTCACACATATCTCTAACCAGACCAGTGCAAGGGTATAGTGGGTTCCTTCCTGTAGCAAACCTAAGGTAGAAAGATCATGGGAGGCCTCTGTCAGGTGCTCTCCCAGAGAGGGTTCTGTCCCTTCGGAATTACCATTCCCAAGCTGCCTGGGGAATATAAGCATTGGTATCACTCTCTAGGACAAGTTCTTCCACTGCTTTCTGGAAGTATTCATTTTTATTACCTTTGCCATTGATGCTTCTAAAATGGCACTTTTAAGAATGGGTAAGAAAACTTGGAATGAAGGTTTTTCAATCCTGCAACAATTCCACCTCACATAAAGACAGCTTTACCATCAAGAGGGGTGCATCTTGAATGGACCAAAGTTCTTACCATAGTCTGGCTACTTCTCCAGCCTCATTTTCTATCGCTCTCCTTCCTGCTCCCTGTGCTTCTGCATACTAGTCTTCCTGCTGAAACTCAAACCCAGGAAATTTATTCCTATTTCAGGGTCTCAGAGTCTTTTTACTCACTGCTCCCTCCCATCGCCCAGAATGCTCTTCACCTGGCTTACTCCCTCCTTTCATTCAGAGGACCTCCTAGACTAACTAAAGAGCATCTCTTCCCTCCTTTGTGCCTGTTGCCCTGCTTTATTTTATTCACAGCATTTACCACTATTTGACATGATAATCATATCCCTTTGGTTATGTGAAAGAGACTTCAACTGTATCCATAATATTTAAAGAACTGAAATGCACATACATGTTTTTTAATTCTGTGGTGGATATGTGTATTCTTATAATACCATTCTATTTTGTGTGTTTATAAACACAGGTATCTACCAGGTATGGTGGCTCACACCTGTAATCCCAACACTTTCGGAGACTGAGGTGGGAGAATCACCTAAGCCCAGAAGGTAAAAAACTATAGTGAGCCTTGACTCCATCACTGCACCCCAGCCTGGGCAACACAGTGAGACCCCTCTCAAAAAAGTAAAAAGTGTTTTTAAAATATTTAAAACATAGAACACAAAATAAGTGTATGAAAATATTTCCTGAAGCGTGCTCACGGAACACCAATTCCTTAAACAATTAAATATGTTTGAAATAGATTGAGCTAAATAAGCTATACAGTTTTTTTTTAATTAATTTATTTATTTTATTGCATTTTAGGTTTGGGGGTACATGTGAAGAACATGCAAGATTGTTGCATAGGTACACACGTGGCAGTGTGATGTGCTGCCTTCCTCCCCTTCACCTATATCTGGCATTTCTCCCCATGCTATCTCTCCCCAACTCCCCACCCCACGCTGTTCCTCCCCTATTTCCCCCCAACGGACCCCAGTGTGTAGTGCTCCCCTCCCTGTGTCCATGTGTTCTCATTGTTCAACACCTGCCTATGAGTGAGAACATGCGGTGTTTGATTTTCTGCTCTTGTGTCAGTTTGCTCAGTTACTATAAGATTTCTGTGTCTTTTAAAAACTATTGTTCTCCCAAGTCATTTTTCGTGTGTTGTTCTAAAAGAGAAATATATAATACTAATAGATGTTTTCTAAACTTACTTGATCCCAGAAACTTTTTTTTCTAAGGAGTATGTAGTGGATTGTTATTCCACGGAACAACTTTGGGAAACAAATATTGTGGGGTAGGGGGCTTTTTAGGTCTTGTTCACCATGTACTCCCAATACATAGAAAGCATCTGAGACACAGCAGGTGCTCATACAGATTTGTTGAATGAATGAATCACTGATTTGATACTGCTATTCCAGCCCCTTGTCAGGGGGTAGACTACATAACTATTCAAGATCTCTTCTAAAGTACGTTAGTACTTCAGAACCATTGGGTGAGATTTCCATAGGGCAGCCAAAATAGAGTGTCAAGGGTCTGATGGAAAGCAGTTGATATACAATTTCAGTGAAATTCCAAATCCAACCTAGCTCACAGTTAAATTACACATCTTCAGTCTCTCCATACTTCTCTTTCTCTCTCTGTCTCCCCTCACTCCTGTCCTTCCCTCATCCTCTCACCCCGTCATACACCTGCTTCTTAACAAGAAACAGATCCATAAATTTAGGACTGAGACTGGTTTCTGGAACTTAAATACTAAGGCTGTTAGAGATACCAGACAACTGATGTGGCACACTGGACCACTAGATGCCACTGTGCTCCTCAGAAATATACCTGGAGCGCCTCTCCACCTGCAGCTGCCAAGATCAAACACCACAGGCGGAACTCAGCATGGGGGTCAAGCCCTCTGCCAGAGCTGCAAGCCTCAGGCATGGAATGAACAGGGCACAGGGTGGTTTGTGCTGCGGCAGAAACGTTTGTACATGTCTGTAACGTTTTGGGTTGTTTGAGCTTTCCTTTCTCCTTTTGTCCCCATGCAGTGCTTTTGTGCATACCTTGGGTCAGGAGGAACTATTTTGAGGCTTGAATCAGAAAGACAGAGTGGTAGATACAGCATAAAGGCAGATCCACCTTCCTAAGCCCCTCTGGAGCCTGGGAAGCAGAGGAGGAAGGAGGAGGTCCGGAAGCACAGCCTTGAAAATACTGTACTTCTGGTGCTGACGGTTCCATTCCCCCGAGGCCCGTTGGAGCTCATCATAGTTACTGTAAGCAGTCATTCTAGGCACTGACTGCAGTACTTACTTCTGCTGAAGGGCCAGCCCTTTTTTTAAGTCACAGTATGGTTATGGATTTAGGGCTTCGTAAGAAGGTTAGGAGTAAGGACGCTCAAAGGACCCCACTGTTAGAGGATAATCCATTAGTACATATACACCTACATTTACAAGTGTGTAATTGTAACATTCACCCTCCAGTTCAGTACCAGGTTTCATGGTGTCCTGAAGTCTTCAGCTTAATTATTATACTCAGTCATCATTCATTGAGTGCTTACTATATACTAAGAATTGCACATATGCTATTTTACATAATCCTCACAACAATCCAATGACATAGGTACTAGTTATTTCACAGAAAAGAAAGCCAAGATCAAAAGTTAAATGATTTGTTCAAGCTTACTCTGTAGGGGGAAGGGGAGATTTAAACATAGGCCTGACTTAAAGGCTCAGTCCCTTACCACTGTGCTATTCTTCCTTCATTGTTAGGCTCTGCATATCTTACCTTCTAAAGGCCCTCAACACCTCCACGCTTGTAAAGCAAAAGCAGTCTGCCTTTGTCAAGGGTCAGGGGACAGTGCTAGGAAACCAGCCCTCTGAGAACAGATGGCTCAGATGGTGAGAATAATTTCTCTCAGGGTGATTGGGAGGGACACAGGCAAGGGAGAGGAGCATCTGCAACCGGGAGGGAACCAGGACATTATCTCTTCCTGTGGCCCGAAGCCTACCCTAATATGCTGAAAGAGGTTTGTCCTGTTCAATTCCATGACTTAGTGTTCATCAGTGAGAGGTCTAGGATTTGGCCCTTCACTTGACCAGACATGAGCATTAAGGGCTGTGACTGAGTTCTGGCCTTGCCAAATGCATAGCCACCATCTGTTCCCCCAACAAACATGGCACACACACCAACTACTTGCATCTCCTTTATACGTAAGGACTAAGTGACCCTCATTTTCCTGACCTTGCTACTATTAGCTCTATCTAAGCATTTCCCAAAAGTGATAAGCTACGGAGTCTGACTCCCTGGGACCAGAAGATAGATTCCAGTTTGTATGGGTTCCAAGTCTGAAGTGGAGGGGAGTCCTGGCTTAATTCTCTGTCTAATGTGTGGTGGTAGTCAGGCTGCACCCCCTCCTTCTCTAATCTTGCTTCTAAACCACTTGTAGGGGATCTCCTTCCTGACCAAACCTTGACCCATACAACAGTGGCTAGAAAAGCAGAGCAAGTATAACCTACTGATCACATGCAGCAGCTTTGAAACCTGGCTTGGATTTGTCTTGACTTGGGTACTGATCAGTTGTTTGAGCTTGGACAAACTAATCTTTCCAAACTTAAATTTCCTTTTTTTTTTTTCGAGATGGAATCTTACTCTGTCACCCATGCTGAAGTGCAGTGGCACGATCTGAGTTCACTGCAATCTCCGCCTCCTGGGTTCAAGCAATTCTCCTGCCTCAGTCTCCCATGTAGCTGGGATTACAGGTGCATGCCACCATGCCAGCTAATTTTTGTATTTTTAGCAGAGATGGGATTTCACTATGTTGGCCAGGCTTGTCTTGAACTCCTGACCTCAGGTGATCCACCCTCCTTGCTGGGGTTACAGGCATGAGCCACTGTGCCCAGCCTCAGGCTTCAATTTCCTATTCTGCAAAATGGAGTTAATACTCCATTCTGTTTTAAAGAATTCTATGAGCCACTACATGAGATAATGTATACATTGAGCAGTCCTCAGTACATTAGTTGTGTCGTTGGAGCTAAGATGGACAAATTACCATAACTGAAAGAGCAAAATGAAGTGGGGAGTTCAAACACATGAGTAAAAATGGATACAGTCTGGACTAAAGCAGAAAGCACACTTAAGCACTGAAGGAAGACAAATATCCATTTTTCTAATATAGTGCTATCAGTGGAGAAGTGTCTGAGAGTTGACGGACCCCATAAATATCTCAAATGGCCATCCGGTGCTTCAAATAATTCTGGTCTTCAAGTTGCTCTAGCCCAGCATATAAAGATAACTCATATACACGTTAGGCACTGTAAGGAGATGAGGAAAGCAGTAAACAGAGATTTAATATTTGGTGTGAGTATAAGAAAAAATTTCTCAAAACAGAAGAAAACGTTCTTTTCTGGGAACATGATATTAGAAAGAAAGAAACCCTTCAGTCTCAGCTATGGCCACTTACCTGGAATGGTAGCTTTGGTGCCAAGGAGGGCCAATCATGCCCTGAGATATCTGCATCATGCTGGCATCAGGTTGGTTCTCCCCAAACTTAGTTGTGTGCCACGAGTGAGGTCGGCCTGCAGGCTCACTGCGCCTGGGGAGACACAGGAGGGACCCCCGCAACGTTAGCCAAATTCTCAGCTGAGTCTCCTCACCGATGTGACTTGTGGATTTGCAAGCAGAGACTGCTATATCTTCAGAGATTGAAAAGCAACCAAGTCAATACGGAGAAGAAGATTTTACTGCTTATTTCTCTGACTAATCATTGTTATTCTCTGCTTAACCTTTTCAAAATTTTACTTATTTTGACATAATTTCAGACTTGCATTAAAATGTTGCGAAATTAGTAAAAAGAATTCTCACATAACCTTCACCTAGACTTCCTACATGTTAACATTTTATTGTAAAACACATGGTCTTTTTTATACTTTATTAATGTAAAGCCTTGGTCTTTCTTGGTCTCTAGCCGTATATAAAAATGGGAGTCCTCAATTTCTTTCCATTTCCCAAGGGGCTTTGGATATATGGTAAAACATTTTCTGGAGATTTTGAGGTCCTCTGTCATATCCGGCTGCTGGATAAATGATACTATTAATATATTGGTAAGAATTGCATAAGCATTAGCAGCAACCTCAGTGTGAACACTGCTCTAAGCTATGGTCTAGAGAACAAAATGCTCTCTAAAATTTTCCATTTTGCAAGTCAATGACTTCAACTTTCAAGCATCCTGCCCTTACCACACAAGAACTGACAAAGACAAAGGGAAAATGTGGGTGTCCTTCAGACTGCAACACTGAGGAATGAATTTCATAAGGAGGCTTACACTACTATAGAAGGTCAGAGTCAGGAGAGAGTTGCTGTGCTTTATTTTTGGCAAAAAAAAATTCAGGTACTCTATCAGGCATTTCATGCTGAAAACTCTTGAACTATAAGACTGTAAGGGGATTTTTCTGCAGTTTAGAACCCCTTTTATGGGATCCAGGAATCCATTTGGATATGGTGAACATAATAGCTGCAAGTTATTCCAACTCATTGTACTTGGCCTTGTAGCTAAAAATGTACCTATACTTTTTCTGTGAAAAAATTAATTAGCTTTTGTAATATACATGAAAAATAATTCCCCTGAAACCAGTAAAATTTAATGCATTAGGGCATCAGAATAATACTAGACCAGGTGTCAGGAGACCTGGGCTCTTGCCTTGACTTTGTTATTAACTTGCTGTCTGACCTTATGTAAGTTACTTCCCCTTCCTAAGCCTTTGCTCATCTAGAAAGTGAGAAGATTAATCAGAGGCTGGATTAACCTCATCTTAATCTAAAATAACTTTCAAAATATAGCAGGCACTGAAGAGCTTCCCAAAACAGATGATTAAACACACACACACACACACACACACACACACACACACACACACACACACAATTTTAACTCCCTAAAGAGAGATTAGGGTGATAGGAGAACGTTCTTGTGTGAAGCAAGGGAAACAGATACCCAATTTTTTTTTAACCCACATTCAGTCAAAGATGTATTGAATTGAAGGAGCCTACAGTCAGGTGCACTAAAGATTAAGTTGCCAAATAGGCCAGGAAAAGTGAGAAAAATTCAACTCTCAAGAGGGGGAGAGAGGCTGGAATGTACCTAAAGGTATCAGCTCTGAGATAGACAAACCTGGGTTCTAATCCAGTTTTAAACTGAATATCACTAGTTTTAGCTTTTAGATAGTAGGTAAATTTCTTAGTCACCCTGAGTTTCCTCATCTGTAAAAGGCAGATTTTAATAGAACTTATTTACAGGGGTTTTTTGAGACTAAAAATGAGATAACACACCTGGCCCACAGTAAGAGCTCAATAAATGTTAAGTCTTATTATCATCATTCATTATTAATAAATTGACGAAGAGTAGAGAGAGTAAGGAGACAGCCTTCAGAGATCTCTAAAAGGAAGGATGGTAAATGATGAGGGAGACGGGAATGGACAGGAACTACTTGCTAATGAGGCACCCAGCCCCGAGCTCCCCAGTGAAGTACTGAGTCGATAATTATGGCAGAGCCTGGCCTGAGATTTACCATGGTCACATCCTGTTGAACTCTGGCCAGGGTAGTGAGGAAGGGAGCCATCAGGGCAGTGGCTGTGACCTGAAATCACAGGGGTAAATACAGGCCAAAAAGAAATGGACCTTGCCCACGTGGAAACTATAAAGGAATGAAAGGGAGCAGTCACACAGCTACGACTAAGGAGATGAAGTAGGTGCAAAATCAAGACATCAACAGCAGAAGCCAGTATATGACAATTTGTTTGGGTCCTTGTCCCCATATGCATTGGTTTGTTCTCACACTGCTAATAAAGACATACCTGAGAGTGGGCAATTTATAAAAGAAAAAGGTTTAATGAACTTACAGTTCCACATGGCTGGGGAGGCCTCACAATCATGGCAGAAGGCAAGGAGCAGCAAGTCACTTCTTACATGGATGGCAACAGGTAAAGAGTGAGCTTGTGCAGGGGAACTCCTGCTTTTAAAACCTAGATCTCATGAGACTTATTCACTATCATGAGAACAGCACGGGAAAGACCTGCCCCCATGATTCAATTACCTCCCACCGGGTCCTTCCTACAACATGTGGGAATTCAAGATGAAATTTGGGTGGGGACACAGCCAAACCATATCACCATACCTCTCTAATTCTTATTAATAGGTCCCATGTAACCACTAAACCTTGAAGTTCAGCACTACTCTAAAGTGTTTTAATTTTATTTATTTATTTATTTTGAGATGGAGTCTTGCTCCGTTGCCCAGGCTAAAGTGCAGTGGCAAGATCTTGGCTCACTGCAACCTCCACCTCCCAGGTTCCAGTGATTCTCCTACCTCAACCTCTTGAGTAGGAGGCTGGGACTACGGGCACACACCACCATGACCAACTAATGTTTTTTGTATTTTTTTGGTAGAGACAGGGTTTCACCATGTCAGCCAGGCTGGTCTTGAACTCCTACCCTCAAGTGATCCACCTGCCTTGGCCTTCTAAAGTTGAATCAACCTTTTTCTCAGCACAGGTAAGCAGGGATCCTGACAGTTAATGGCTCAGCATCTTAGTAGTTGAGCATTCTTGCTGCTAGTCTTTCTCTAATTTTGGACACCAAAGTCCCCAGAAACTAGGCTCTTGCATCTTACAAGTTCCTTGAAGGTAGGCTGCCTCACTGACTTGGATTCCTCATTTATCATCTTGTTCCATCCAGTCATTAGAAATCCTTCCTAGTGCTCTAAACCCTTCAGGGGCTGGCCCAAATCACACAGTCACTAAGTCTGGGAGTAAGGGTTTAAACCCAGTTACATATGACTTCAGGTACTCAACAAATGCCACTGCTTAATCATATAGCAAAAGCCCAGTCTTGATTAAAAATAAAGTCTCTTTTGCATGAGATACCAAGAGGCATTTCATGCATGTATCATTTTAGACCCCAATGGGCCCAAAATACATTAGGAGAAAGAAGAGAAGAACAGACGGTCATCTTCCTACTGCTCATTCCCATTACCCAGTGAAGGGAGTTGGCAGAATCCCTCACAGTAGTAGAAATTAGCCTGGGACTAGGTGTTGGCCTTGAGAAGCCAATGGACACCAATGAACTGTGACCTCAGACCAGCACCATGTGACACTAAGAGTGGCTCTTCAGTGGCTTCATCACCCAACAGTATCTGTCCATGCCTCTAAAAACATTGATGCCGAGTGGGCCGGGCGCGGTGGCTCACACCTGTAATCCCAGCACTTTGGGAGGCCGAGGTGGGTGGATCACGAGGTCAAGAGATCGAGACCATCCTGGTCAACATGGTGAAACCCTGTCTCTACTAGAAATACAAAAAATTAGCTGGGCATGGTGGCGCGTGCCTGTAATCCCAGTTACTCAGGAGGCTGAAGCAGGAGAATTGCCTGAACCCAGGACGCGGAGGTTGCGGTGAGCCGAGATCGCGCCATTGCACTCCAGCTTGGATAACAAGACCGATACTCCGTCTCAAAAAAAAAAAAACATTGATGCCAAGAAGCTTTTCCCACTTAAGAGAAATAGAAAGTGATAAATTCCACAGGCTCCACAGAAAAAAGGATGCTTTTTCCTGTCAAGGAGATGAGGTGGTGAGACAATGTTCACTGATAACTTCAAGGGTTCCAGAGAAGCCCTCTAGTTTGCTTCTGCCTATTAGCCAAGCTACTTGGGAGGCTGAGGCAGGAGGCTCAATTTTTTTTTTATTTATTAGCTGGGTGTGGTGGCATCCACCTGTAATCCCTGTTACTCAGAGGCTGAAGCAGGAGACTGTGCAACACTGCACTCCAGCCTCCAGAGAGATGTCTCTTCATTATCATTATTATTATTATTATTTTAGATGGAGGGGATGGAAGAGGAGAGAGGGAAGAGGAAATGAGAAGGATGCTGATGGCTCACTCTGGGGCATGCATAAGTGCCTGTGGGCTTCCCGTGGAGAGGGACTAGAGGACTGAGGGCTGGGCTGCATATAGAAATTTACAAGTCACAAAACACAGGGCCTTGGAGTTACTTGAGGAGAATGAATAGGCAGACAAAGGAAATAATTTAAAGATGAGTTTCTGAGAACGATCAAAATTTAAGGGAGAGGGAGCCTGGGAAAAAAAGCCCAAGAGGAGCTTCCAGAGAAGAAGGAGGAAAGCTAGTTAAGTATGGGCGTCTCACAGATTTCTAGTGGGGAGAGTAAGGAGGAGGAGGAAACTGTAAACCACTGTGATGCTATAAACAGGTTAGTGTGAGGAGGCAGATGCATGGCCACTGGACTTGGCAACCAACCAGCATGTCCTTGCAATGGCATGACTTGGGGTTAAAGGTGAACGAGGGGTAAGGTAGAGGCGGTGCAGGCAGATGATTCCTTCAAAAACTTGTTTCTAAAGAAGAGAAGAAGGTGGTGGCTAGAAGACTGGAGGGAGTGAGGGAGTGAAAAGGTTAGTTCTTGCTGTTTTTGTTTTAAACAATGAGAAGTTTAAGCAAGTATCTATAAGGCAGAGAGTGTGCACATGCCCATCTGAAGATACAGGACACAGGAGGATGACTCTTTAAAGACTCAGGAGGAGGTAGAAAGGG